AATTCTTTTTAAAAAGTGAGCCAGCCATGGCTGGAGCTCCATCTGTAGTAAGGCCACTTAACTTTTCAAATGTTAGCTCAAGATTTTTCATTGATAAAACAAGTCTCTCAAGTCCTCACCTCTAGTTGTGCCATGCATGGCTTCCGTGACAGCAGTTCCTCTTGCATGTCAAACTCTGCAGTTATCCCATGAACGAAAACCGCCAGTTGGGCAGTAGTGGTTATGTCTGTTGTCACAAGCCAGAGAGGAAAATTAGAAATCTCCTGCAGAATCCTTAGGTGTTTTTTTTAAATATATTGTGCTAAGTCAGTAATCCGATCTGAGACAGTTCTCTGAGACAAACTAACACTCTGAAACAATTTTACTTTGTCTGGTGCTAACAACTCCACAGCAGCCACCACGCACTTTCACAAACTCTCTCTACATGAGGCTTCAGCTTCTTTGTGTTTAGCTTGCTCACTACATAATCCATCTGTATAATGTTGTCTCTATCACAATGAGGCCTAGTGAAAGTGGTTTGTTGTGATTCCAAACTCCTCTGAAGAGCATTGATTTTTATCTGGATGCATTGGGCCTCCCAATTCATTGAGTTGAGCTGTAATGATGCTCCAGATTGGCTTTTTCTTTCTTTTTTTTTTTTATCCTCACCCGAGGACATTTTTCCATTTTTTGTACAGATAGAGTGGGAGGGAGAGAGAGGAAGAGATAGAGAGAGAGAAACATCGATGTGAAAGGGACACATCGAGTGGCTGCCACCGCACGACCAACCAGGGTCGGGGACAAACTGCAACCGAAGTATGTGCCCTTAGTGGGAACCGAACCCGGGTCTCTCCAGACCGCAGGCCGACGCTCTAACTGCTGAGCCAAACCGGCCAGGGCCAGATTGGCTTTTTCATTACTGCTAATGCTTCGCCACAGACTAGGCACACAGGTTTCCAATGATCTTGGAAAGATCAACACTGCATCAACTTTTCTTTGTAGTCACCATTTGTAGGATGTCATCATACCACTTAAGTTTTAGTATCTATCCAGTGTGTATGTCGCCAGCAGTATGATTATTTTGCTTTGATCGCTGTTCTAATCCTGCATCTTGGATTTGGAACATATCCAACATTTGTATTATCGACTCTTGAGGTCTTTTCTGTGTGCTTTAATTTATTTAATCTTCGTCTGAGATTCAGTTTTTGCAAGGATTGTTGATTTGGACGTGTGGATAAAGGTTAGATTGGAGTTATCGTCTGTGTCGACAAAGAAGTGGACAATATCGTCATCAGAGGCAAGGTCATCAACGTTGTGAGGAATCCTCTCCATTGCATCTCGTCTCATCATCACTGGACTGCCTGTAGTTTTGCCACAGTGTGTTAACACTTTCACAGTGTGTATACTCCCAACCTGCCTGGCACTGACTGTCCTCTGAATTACCACAATATAGGCAGGCGGGCCATGAGCAGCTGAGGAGAAGCATATGTATCTGTCCCATCACATACTCGTATGTGTCCTATCCTGGAATGGATGATCCTTGCTTTTCCTGCAAAATTTACGTTATTATGATTCACTTAATAGAAATGTATGTTGCTATAGAAAAAGTTCCTAGATTTATTGAATTTTAGGTCCTGCCTGTGGTTGCTTTGGCAGGGCCAGGCCAAATGATTTTGTGGGCCTTGTACAGGCTGGACGTTCCCCACCCTTGTTATAGGGTAAGAATTGTTAATACCTAGCTATGGCTCCTATAGAACCAAGGGGTTTGGTCCTACTGGAACCTGTACCTATTAGGCATATTGTATAATGTATACACTGGGGCTGCCTTTATTTTGAGGTGAGGGTGATCTGCTGAAGGACTTTGTGCGTGGGCCCCTCAATTCCAGATGACCTGTTCTTACTCAGAGTCCTAACATTCCACTGAGATAAATGTGGATCCTTGAAGCCATGGGTCTTCTAAGAGATCTACGACTGGGGACAGCATCACTTATGACATCACTTGGACCTGTTGGTAAAAAGCTTTATTTCTAGATGTTTTCCTAATTGAGGTCTTACAGTTTGTTATCCGATAATCTGTAGTTTTCTGTATGGGACTTATCATTACTTGTAGTAATTTTAATAACTATTATTTATTATTTATTTGTTTTTTCCCTAAAGCTGGAAGCTTTACCAGGGCAGAAACAGTCTGTTTTTTTGTTTGTTTTTTAAATCCTAACCTGAGGACATTTTCGCATTTATCTTCAGATAGAGCAGGAGGGAGAGACGGAGGAAGAGAGAGAGAAACATCAACACGAGAGAGACACATCAAGTGGCTACCACCCACACGAACCCAACCAGGGCCAGGGACAAACTGCAATCGAGGTACATGCCCTTAGCGGGAACTGAATCCGGGACTCTCTGGTCTACAGACTGATGCTCTAACCACTAAGCCAAGCCGGCCAGGGCCAGAAACAGTCTGTTTTGTTCATCACTATATTCCCAGTAGTTAGCATATAAGTGCTCAAATACTTATTGGCATACTAACTCACATTATTTCACATATCTAGGTTGTGTCCCTCATAAAATTTAGAGAATTATGTGCCTGCTTAGGGTTCCTCATAATATGGTAGCCAGGTTCCAATAGTGAACATCTTAAGAAAGCAAGGCAGAAGTGCATGGCATTCTTATGACCTAGTTTGGGAGATCATGTAATGTTATTTCTTTCATAACTTTGTCAAGCAGTGACATAGTTCTTACCCAGTTTGAGGTGGGGTGATATGGATCTTGTCACTTGATATGATGAGTGGCAAGCTCACCTTATAAGATCATGTGAAATGGGAGGTCTTGTGTGGGCCATTTTGACAAAGACAAGCAATTGCAGTTGTTTGTAGTTTTCATCAAATTAAATTTCTTTTTAGCTATAATTTTTTCAAATATATTTTGTCCTCATCTGCCTTGTTTTTGGAATTCTAATTATATGTGTGCTTTATATACTACAGATCATTAATCTTTTATTCTTTTCAGTTTTACTCTCTTTGCTTCATTTTGAATAGTTTATATTGTCTTCAGATTCACTGTTAGTTTCTTCTGCAGTCTCTAATCTGCTATTAAGCCCATCTAGTGAATTTTTCATATCTTCTGTTGCTTTCATTTTCATTTAAATCCTTGAGCATATTTTTTAAAATGTTTTTCTTTATTGTTTTTAGAGAGAGAGAAAGGGAGAGGGAGGGGGAGAGAAAGATGGGAAACATCTATGAGAGAACATTGATTGGCCACCTCCTGCATGCCCCGCATTGGGGATTTGGCCCACAACCTGGGCATGTGCCCTGACCGGGAATTGAACCAGTGACCTCCTGGTGCATGGGTCAACATGCAACCACTGAGCCACACCGGCCAGGTTTCTTGAACATATTTATAGTAACTGTTTTAAGGTTTTGTCTGCTAATTCTGGCATGCCTGGCATTTCTGGGTCTATTTTTATTAAGTGATACCCCTCACCCCCAAATTATGGATTTTTTTTTTTCATCATCCTCACCCGAGGACATTTTTCCATCCTTTGTTCAGGTAGAGTGGGAGGGATAGAGAGGAACAGAGAGAGAGAGAAACATCGACGTGAAAGGGACACATCGAGTGGTTGCCACCCACACAACCAACCAGGACCGGGGACAAACTGCAACTGAGGTACATGCCCTTAGCGGGAACCGAACCTGGGTCTCTCCAGACCGCAGGCCGATGCTCCAACCGCTGAGCCAAACTGGCCAGGGCCAAATTATGGATCTTTTATGCATCTTCACATATCTAGTAATTTTGTATTGTATGCTAGCATCTTCAGTGCTACATTTTTAGATATCTGGATTTTGTTGTCTTTAAAGAATACTGAAATTTGTTCAGATGGGTAATTTGCTAATCAGCTTGCTACTTTAAATGCTTGCTTTTAAGCTTTGTTAAGACTGGTTTGGAATAGCTTTTGCTCTAGGGCTAGTTCAGCTCTAAGGCTAAGGGATGATCCTTCTGAGAACGCTACTGAATCCCTAGTATTCAAGGAGGTCTCTTTACTCTGGCTATAACCATCCTAGCCCTGTTGAGCTCTGGGGATTATTCAGTTTAAAATTCTGGCATTTGTTTTGTCTGGCTCTGTGGGATATCACCTAACACATGTGTAGGTTAGTATTTAGTAATAGACTGAAGGGATCTCTGTAGATTTCTGGATGTACTTCTTTGTGCTGCAAATACCAGCCACCTCAGCTTCCTCAAATCTTTTTTATAAATCCTCACCTGAGGATATTTTTCCATTGATTTGGAAGGGGGGGGGAGGGAGGGAGGGAGGGGGAGAGAGAGAAAGAGAGAGAGAGAAATATTGATGTGAGAGAGACTCATTGATTAGTTGCCTCCCACACACACCCCATCTGGGCTGGGGATCGAACCTGCAACCCAGGTACATGCCCTTGCCCGAGAATCAAACCCTTGACCTGGAATCGAACCCTTGGCCCTTCGGTGCTTGGGCTGACATTCTAATCACTGAGCCACACTGGCCAAGGCATCAAATTCTAATAATTTCAATTTACTCCATTCATCAAGACTGGGGTGCTTTGCCTGGTACTCTATACATTGCAGTCTGGCAAGTGCTTGCAAGCAGAAAGCTATGGTGATCTCAGGGCTCAACTTATTTACCTTCTCAATGATCCTTTTCAGGGATCACAGTCCTACAGAGTCTGTTATCCACTGTCTAGAATTAGCTGTTTCATGTAACTTATCCAGATTTCTAGTTTTGTATGGTAAAATTGGAAGTTCTGTACTAGTATTACAAGTCAAAGTATGCATTTTAAACCCAGGATTTCTTTTTTTGTTTAACCATTTAAGTTTTTTAGTTTTCAAGTGTAAAACTAAAATGAAGTCAGCTTTGGGCTAGAATGAATAATTTGAGTTCAGGTTTCACACCTACTTCTGACTTGCTGCATGAATATTGGCAAATCCCATTTCTTCTTTGACTTTTATAGGCTAATTGAATTGACTTCAACTCTATTCTCTCTACTTCTCAGGCATTCCATAACAAGCAAAAAGAAATAAAACCAAATCACACTAAATAACATTGAGATTATAAAAGCTGACACTTCCAAAATGTCTCTGGCCCATCTTCCACTTCATATGGTAAAAGGATAAAGGGGCCTGAAATGAAAGTATGGTGAGACAGATACTGTGTCATTGCCTTTCCTCCTGCTATTACTGAATGTCAGAAACTAAGACTTTTACGTGAATGAACTCACCAAATCCTCATAACTGCCCAATGGGATAGGTTGTTATTTTTCCCTATTTCTCACATGAGAGTGAGACAGATTAAGCAACTTGCAGAGGGTCATACTGTTGCCCTGGCCAGTTTGGCTCAGCGGTTGGAGCGTCGGCCTGCGGTACAGAGGGTCATACTGTTAAGTGGTAGTAGCAGAATTGGGATCGATTTGAACCCAAGCTGTGTGACGCAGAGCTGTGCTCTTAACTACTATATAACTATTTGAAAACTACTGAAATGCATCTGCTGCTGATGGAAAATCATTGTCTTTAACTGTAAATTCATCCTTGAAATCCCTTCAACAAATCCTGTTTGTTTAGTCAGCCTGATTTCCATGAGGAAGCAGAAAGATTGGGATATAGTTGGAATATGTGATTCCTGAGAAAAACATAGCATCAGTATGGCAGGAAATGGTGGAAGATGGAAGGTATACAGCAAAACTACCTAGGAAATAGGATCTGAGTCAAGTCCAAAGGGTCCAGCAGGGGGTCACTGGTGTTTATTGAATTTCTTTTGTCTGGCAACTGTTTTGGTAATAGTTTCTATTCTTTCCCTCTCTATTTTCAGGCACAGTTAATCAAGTCAGGCACCAAAATGCTAACACTCTTTCCTGGAGAGAGAAAGGCTAAGATCTCTTTTACTCAAAGAAGAAATCCTCCTGCAGGCGTTCGGCAAACCAGCATTTCTTCCTTCTTCACCTTGCAGCCAGGTATGGTGACCTGTCTGGGAGCACCCAGGGAGCACAAAGGAGTGCATTCATTTTTTCATGCTGGAACATTTACAAGTGGCAACACCAGTGCATAGCTCACCTATTAGAAGAGGTTATAAAATAAGAAACCATTGCTTTTTGAAAAGCAATATATACATGCTTTTACAAACATACTTTTCTGGTTCTACTTTGCTTAGTCTAATATTAAGTATTTGTATTCCCTGACAGAGCAATGAGGAAGGGTATACTTGGGAGTTGGAGGTATAGGGGAGCCGACCTTTAGTTAGGTATATGTCTTGGATTAGTCACAATGAGTAGTCTGTATAAGGTTAATTGATAATTGGTATTTTTGTATGAAGCTTCTCAAATTAGTCAAGGTTCAATGATGTGTTTTTCTTAGAAAGGTTGGCATAAAGTTGGCTTGTGTCTCATCATCCTTTGACAGTTTTTTGCTTGCATGTCCTACTTCAGGGGAACAGCTGACTCAGAGCAGGCTGGGGCTTTACAGAGCAAGGTTCCTGCCAATTAGAATGAAAGCTCTAATTCTTGGTGCACTTCCCAGGACTGCTTTGCACAAACCTTCAAAATGTACTCTCCATACCCCAAACAAAAACTTAAAACTCTTGCTTTAACAAAGACAGACTTGTTTTTTTCAAAAACACTTTCCAGCCCTGGCCGGTTTGGCTCAGTGGTTAGAATGTTGGCCCGTGGACCAAAGAGTCCTGGGTTCGGTTCCCACTAAGGGCATGTACCTCAGTTGCACTTTGTCCCCGGCCCTGGTTGGGGTCATGTGGGTGGCAGCCACTCACTGTGTCTCTCTCACATCAGTGTTTTTCTCTCTCTTCATCCCTTTCTCCCTCCCACTCTATCTGAAGATAAATGCAAAAATATCCTCGGGTGAGGATTAAAAAAATAAATAAAAAACATTTTCCATTTCAGATGTAAGATTCTGGCATATTCTAGTCTATATAGACTTCTTAGGCAAAATTGAGAACTCTTTCATGAAACATTGTTTCTGTAGTATAATTCTGAGAGAAGGAAAGAGGAAATCAGTAATTCAGACTTATTTGTTAACTAGATTTTGGTATAATTTGGGAGTGTTAATTCCATGGCATTAATCCTTATAGCAGAACAGAGTCCATTCCATGCCTGATAAAATTGGCAGACTGGGCACTATTTGTTCTTTTATATATTATTTTTCTTCCTACTGGTTGACTTAGCATCTTATTGTCTTTACTCTTTACCATGAAATGTTTGGGGTGTGGGGAACTTGTGTTCTTCACACTGTCACCAGATTTTTCAGTGTTGGATGGTTAATGTGATCTTGAGGCCTTACAAAAATAGTGTGTTGAGACAATATCCAGGAGTAATATTTGGTGAGGATCACCAGCAGAAAGCACATGAAATAAAAGACAGTGGCAAAACTGATGTGCCCTCTGTTACACAAACCCCACATATGAAAAATTAGCTGGAAAAGTAGGCTGCGGTCTGATTACATGTCATGTTTGACTTTATTAGGTAGGTCATAGGAAGCATCTGTATATTTGAGTAGGGGAATAAATAAGATCTGTGTTTTACAAAGCTCATTCAGGAGAGAATAGAGAGAGTGAAAGTAGGAAGCTCAGCTACAAAGGAATGTGAAGAGTTAAAGGCCCCTGTACTAGGCAGTGACAGTAGTACAGTAGCTGATACTGATTTTAGAAAGAACCAGCTAAATCCTGCTCAGGGCAGTTTTCCTGCAGAATAATACTTGTTCATGTCTGTTTCACTAGGAAAGAAAAATGGTGGTGATCAGAAGAGTGTTTCATCACATATAGAAAGTCAGACCAACAGAGAGTCTAAGAAAGATGCAGCCCACCTAGACCATCTGATCCAGGGCTTGGGGGATGATTGCATGGCACCCCCTTTAGCCACTTCAACCCCTGCAGACATCCAGGAAGCTGGACTTTCTCCTCAGCCCCTCCAGGCTTCTGGACACCACAGAACGGGAACCCCATTCTTGACTGGGCTGTCTTTGTTTCAGCCTGATACCTTAGTCTGTACTGGAGAAAGTCAAGACTCACTGACTTGTTCCTTCACCCAGGACTTGGAAAGTTTTTGCTTGCTGGACCAAAAGGAAGGAAAGAAGAATTCTTCCTGGAAAATGGAATGGCTTCATGAATCTAAGAAAAAGAAATGTCAGGGTATGGAGAGACGCAGTAAACCACCTGGGGGCAAGGGCCATCAGCCCTTGGACAAGCCTAAATTGGAAAAGGTGTCTGCCAAAGAAAATAGGCAGGCCCCTGTCCTCTTTCAAACATACAGGGAGTCCTGGAGTGGAAGAAACACAGAAGCAGTGAAACAAAGTTCTTGTCCTGTTGCTGTGGTTTCCTGGGACAGTGAAAAGGATGACAGGGACTCATGGAGTCAGCTTTTCACTGAGGATTCTCAGGGCCAGAGGGTCATTGCTCACAACTCTAGAGCTCCTTTCCGAGAGGTAACCAACAGCCAGAACCAGGGCTTGGGGCAGTTTCCTCACAGCCCTTGGGCTCAGTGCCAGGATAAGCCCACTCAGTTAAATCTGCAGCCTGATTTGCTCTTTACCCAGGACTCTGAAGGCAATCAAGTTATCAGGCACTAAGTCTAAATGTCTTTGAGGGCTTGGTTTTAAAAATATCTTGGGGAGGTATGGGATGAAGCTCTTATTGTTGAGCATTTTCTTTGTCTAAATAAAGCAGGTGGTGACACTTAAGACGGTATGGTTGGCATCATGCCTTTTCCTGAAGAACAGGTGACTGGTAAATTCCCTGTATGAATCTGGTGAGCACGGAGGACGCAGGGGAGGTACTCATCCCTCCACTAAAGGGCCTGTTACTCAGCCTGCACAGAGCCACGCTTTCAGATGCCTAACTGGGACATCGCTTCTTATAGATGTCTACACTTCTAACCTCTGGCTACAAATACTTATCAACCGAATTTTGGGACCATCAACTGACACATTTTTGAGTGGTAAGTCACATCTCCCTGATCTGGTATATAGGGACAGGGGGATAGAGAAGCAGGTAGGAGGTAAAATGATGGCAGTTTACAGCATTTTTAAAGTTATATATTCCGTTTAAACATCTCTCCCTTAATCCTGAGCTGTAGAATAGTGAAGATGTGACTATCATTCTTCTACTATAAAGTGGGAGAAGAGAATTCCCTTTGTAAAACTGAGTCCAAATAAATGACTGTTTACAAAGCTGGCTCTGATGGTAATTAAAACATTACCAAGTTTATTTTTGAAAAAGCAACTTTTTAATATTAGATGCTGTCATTGCCCTGGGCCCAATCTGAATAGGAGTCTAATTTGACCTTTGTTATACCCAAGACTTTATCCATCAGGTAGCAGTTTCCTGTGGTGCAGGTGTGGTACCTAAGAGACTCCTAGTGGGCAACTTGCAAGTTATAAGATGGAACTGCTTTAAGAACTTAGGGCACAATCTCCACAGATGGGACAAGAGGCTCTTTAGGGAAGTTTTCTTTTATAAAGGCAGAACCTTACAAGGAAAGGGGGAGAAGCCAGGAGCTTGTTAATGAAAGTTCATAATATTATAAAATTAACAGGAATCCTATATTTATAGGAGACACCAGGTGATTATAACTCAGAGATGGACACAGTAAATGCAGTCTCTCTCCAAATCCTTCCTTTAATGTCAGGTAGTGCTTCAACCCAAACACACACAGGATACATACTGCAGAGAAGGGGACCTGAGGGCATCTGAGTCATGCATGGTGTGGGTACAGACCTTGGCCCAACACAAAGAAGCAGTCAAGGGCTTGGAAGATGGTATTCTCTTTTCCCTCCCCATTTCTCTTTCCTACTGGGCTTAAAGTCCATGGAAGAGCCAAAGGTTCAATCGGTGGAACCAATGGGGCCCCAGGGCCTTGGAGGGTAGATCTGGTTGTACAGTATTACAAAATATATTTAAGAAAAAAACAGCCCAGGCCTCCCAGAAGCAGCCCAAATGTCAGCTGGTTCAGAGGCCTGACCTCTACATCTAGGTGTTGGACATAGGAGACGGTGATTGCTGGGTGGTGTTTTGTGATGGAGCAGCATAAGATTTTTCCTGCCCTGTGAACATGTACATACACATTTATAGCTCCCTCAGCTCTGCTCTGCTGCAAGGAAGCTGCTGAGAGTGAGTGACAGCTGGGCACAAAGTGTCCGGTGAGACCAGTTATGGGGTCTAATGCAGTGAAGTAAGTCATTCAGGACCTCTTTTCACACAGGAGCAAGGAAAAACCAGAAACTTCTAGCTCAGCCTTTGGACTGAAACATTCCAACCTATACATTTACCTGTAGCAAGTGTCTCAGCTCAAAACAGGTCTTAGCTTTTGCTAAGGTTTGAAGTATGGGAACATATAATCCAGCTCTTTTAGTCCAAGCTCTAGTTTTCGGCAAGACCACTGCAGAAAACTTCATTAATGGAGAGGCAGAAACATCTGCGGTGAGGAAGGCAGCTACTGAAGGAATACCAGGAGCATGAGACTGAGTTTGCAGAGCTGTCAGTTTCCTTTTCTACTGATATCTTCTTCCTTCAGAGCAAATTTCCTTCTCAGGACCTCAGAGATAAGGATGGCAGGGTCCTCCTCCTTCAATAAACTCCGGCTCCTAGAGACACAATAATAGCTTAATTTTTAATAATATATTGAGGACTTACTCTGTCCTGGGCAATGTTCCATGTCTTGAATACGATCTCATTTAACACTCACAATTTTTTACAATTCTTTTTTACAAATGAAACTGAAGCACAGAAAGGTTATACAATTTCCCCCAAATTACTGGGTCAGTAAGTGGTGACTCCAGAGCCCAAAACCAAGCTAGCTGGTTGCAGATCTCATTTTTTTTTTAATCCTCACCTGAGGACATTTTTCCATTGATTTTTAGAATGGAAGGGCGAGAGAGAAGCATCTATGTGAGACACATCAATTGGTTGCCTCCCGTACAACCCCGACCTGGGATTGAACCTGCAACCCAGGTACATGCCCTTGACTGGGAATCAAACCTGAGACCCTTTGGTTTGTGGGCCAGTGCTCTAACCACTTAGCAACCAGCCAGGGTTAGATCTTGTTTCTTAACTAGAATGCTTTACTATTTCCTGAGATGGCTATAAAATGTGGGCAAAGTAAAGGACCATTAACCAGTTAGAATTGGCCTGTGGTGGCTAAGCTTCTCCTTCCACCTTTGGTGCTATCTTTTCTTTTTTTTTTTTTTTTATCCTCACCCGAGGATATTTTTCCATTTTTGTACAGATAGAGTGGGAGGGAGAGAGAGGAAGGAGAGAGAGAGAGAAACATCGACGTGAAGAGACACATCGAGTGGCTGCCACCCGCACGACCAACCAGGGCCGGGGACAAACTGCAACCGAAGTACGTGCCCTTAGCGGGAACCGAACCCGGGTCTCTCCGGACCGCAGGCCGACGCTCTAACCGCTGAGCCAAACTGGCCAGGGCTGGTGCTATCTTTTCTTAGTAACATTTCCACAGATCAGCAGGGGAAGTGACTAATAACTCTTGGCCATTCTGACCTTTATCAGTTCCAGGAAAAAGATGTTTGGAAGACTTCTTTTTATTCTGTCTCCCCATTAAGGGGGCTCTGAAATTTTTAAAAAATGAGATCTAGAATTTATAGTAAAATGTCCACATCATAAGGGACCTGTGGGAACAAAACCATCTCCTAGATTGGGGTAGGTTCAAATTACCTGATACATCATAAAAGTATGTCCTAGATATCTGGAAAATCGTTGCTTGAAATCCTAGTGGACTTATACCAATATACATATGCACATTCTTATGAAGGTATTTTACTAGTCTTTAGGCTACATATAAGAGTCAAGATTGATTATTAAACCTTGAAAGCAAAAATGAGTAACTGTCTTCAGTCTGTCACATTTCTGCCCCTTTGTTGATGGGGCTACTTTCCCATCAGTTGGTAATCCATTTCCTCCTATGAACAAGGGACAGCCCTGTTGGCTCAGCGGTTAGAGCATTGGCCTGCGGTCCAGAGACCCGGGTTCAGTTCCCACTAAGGGCATATACCTCGGTTGCAGTTTGTCCCCGGCCCTGGTTGGGTCATGCAGGTGGCAACCACTCAATGTGTCCCTTTCACATCGATGTTTCTCTCTGTCTCTCTCCCTCCCACTCTATCTGAACAAAAAATGGAAAAATGTCCTCGGGTGAAGATTAAAGAAAAAAATATATATAAAAAAAACAAGGGACAGCTTTGGCTGGTTTGGCTCAGCTGTTAGTGCTGGCCCTTGGACCAATGAGTCATAGGTTCAATTCCGGCCAAGGGCACGTACCTCAGTCGCAGGTCATCCCCAGCCCTGGTCAGGTCATGCGGCAGGCAGCTAATCAATGTCTGATATTGATGTTTCTCTCTCCCTCTCAATCTGAAGACAAATAGGATATCCTCAGATGAGGATTTAAAAAGAAAAACAAGGGACAAGAGATCCCAGGACACAAGTGGGAGGAGGCAAGAAAGAAAGTTTGAGAGTCAGCCTATGGAACAATGACCAGAAGAGAAGGACCCAGGGCAGCCGCAAAGCAGCAGCTATATTTGGGGGTGCAGGAGACCAAAGAACTGGGTACAACCAAGACAAGCCAGGCTAGGGCCCTAGAAGGTGAAATGACTTCCCTAAAGGATCGACTACCAGGAAGCAATGAGGGAGTCACAGCTTTGTCTGGTTTTCAGACAGAAGTGGGCCAGAGAAACAAGGGGTCTTTTCACAAGGTGAGTCACCTTCCCTTCAACAGGAACTTCTTCAACTCAGGAGAGAGCCCTCATCTCCCACAAGAGTTAAAAAAAAATTTTTTAAAGCCCTTGCCAGTTTGGCTCAGTGTTTGGAGCATCAGCCCTGCGGACCAGAGTGTCCCAGGTTCGGTTCCCGCTTAGGGCACTTACCTCGGTTGCAGCTCGTCCCTGGCCCTAGTTGGGATCATGTGGGTGGCAGCCGGTTGATGTGTCCCTCTCACATTGATGTTTCTCTCTCTCTCCCCCGCTCTCTTCCTCCTGCTCTATCTGAAGATGGATGCAAAAATGTCCTTGGGTGAGGGTTAAAAAAAATTTTTTAAATTGATATTTTAGAGAGCAAGAGGAAGGGAGAGAGAGTGAGAAACATTGATCAGCTGCCTCCTGCACGCCCCCTACTGGGGATCAAGCCCAGGCATGTGCCCTGACTGATAACTGAACGGGGACCTTTCAGTCCATTATGGGACAACATTCAATCCACTTAGCCACACGGGCTGGGCACCCACAAGAGTTTTTAATCAACATTAATACAGCTGCATATCCTGGCCTCTAGCCTTTGGGGTCTAGATGTCAAACTTCAATGTTTCAAGGCCCAGGAACCTGCAAGCAAGCTCTCTGGTATCTCTCGTGCAAGTGCTCAGACCACACTTGGAGAAACACTGCAAGGTGGTGGCTCTCCAGCTGGAGCACTAGGGCTTCTCTGCCAGATGAGTTTCTCAAGGTAGGTATTTCCCACATTCCCTCATACTCGCATCAAAGACCTAGAGCTCCACACCTTGGGGGTTCAGCTTAAGTATAAGATGTATTTTGAACAAATACGAGCAATTCTGATGGGCAGCCAGGTTTAAGAACTTCCTATGAGTCTCAAAAACAGCCTTGTTCTCAAATCTCTGAAATTGCAATGTTAGTCTGCATATGAAAGTGGAAACTCCCAACTTTATGAAATTCTCCTTCCACCAAAAAAGTCTACCAATTTGAGATACTAAAGTAATTATGCAACCCAACTTCGAAGGGTGGGGCATAGGGACACTTACTAGCTGCTGAGAATGGAAATGGTAAAGCCCCTGGGGGGAAGAAAAGGGATTAGATGAACCTTGTAAAATTCCTACTAGTTTAACATTTGGTTGGGTTATATCACCCCAACCAAATAAGTGTTGCTCATTCCTCAAACTGGGGCCCCAGTTTGCTACTAGCAAGCAGGTAGCAAGGTTTGTGAATGATCACTGGTCACGGGTGACTTAAATAGTAACTAGATCACCAGAGCTCTTTATCTAAAACTTACAGATCCTGGCTCTGTTTCATCCGGTGAAAGTCCTTCAGGATCCCCATCATATCTGCAAAGCTGCTGGCCTTGGACAGAGAGATGCAGTCATCCTCTTCAGACGAGCTGCAGGTAGTTTTGTGTTCTGGTTTGCAACATTCAGGGCTGGCAGAACAAAGCAGGGAGACTGATGGAAGCTCGGGGACCTCTACCTCGGTCTCCTCGGTGATGTCACTAATGACAAAGGAAGTTGTAGAGTGGAATGAGGATCCAAAACAAGGTAAGGGAGAAGAGACATTTGAACTTCCTGGAGATAAGAAATCTGGCGTTAATGAAGCCGAAGCTGAAAGAGAAAACAATAGGCATGGATGGACATTGGGGCTAGAACATAGCAGTAATTATCTTCTCCTCACAAGCACTACCTACCAAACATTTCCTGGGCTGACACCATGACATCCCGGAAGAGCCCAGGGTGGAAGGCTCCTCCACCACCCTTCTCTCTTAGGATTTCAAGATGTAGAAGCACTGGGCTCTTCCAGTGTCCGGGAGAGCAGTACACCTCCCACCCCTACCCAGTAAAGGCCTTTGCTCCTAACAGCTCCCACTCTGCAGTGAGCTCTGGAGCAACAGCCCTGTTTAGACTGAAAGCAATGACAACCAAGGCCTGAATTTGTCCTTTCCTCTAACTGGGCTAGTGCTTTTGACTACCCTCCTCTGAGTGGTGTCTGACTGGAAGAAGTATTCTACAGCAAAAATAGAATGGTGATGGTCCTAATTTCCCAAATTTTAATGGAATTTCTTCAATTTCAAAGTCTCTAAGAAACATTCTAGTTTTTCATAAACTACTTTAGCTTGTCTCTTCGATGACAAAAAAAGCCAATAAATGCAATTCCTCTATAAAACTGCCATACAAGGGAAATAAATACATGAAGATTTCCAAGAGAACACTAAATTTTCATATGTTCTACCAACTGAAGTTTTGGGAACTGACTTGAGTTCAACTAGGAGCAAAAAAAAAAAGGATAGGAGGAATATGAAGATAAATAGATCCTGAGCTTCCTGTTGGTATTTTCTGCCACTGGTGAAGGCAGACTCCCATCCTTTTCCAGTGTTCTGCGAAAGGATGGAGAGGTGGCCTCTGGTAGATAAGACGAGGGAAGGGAAGATGGGTGTTTAGTGGGGAGGCTTACTTCTCATTGAAAAGAAAAGCTGCCGAGGGCTCATGGAAGGCGTGATCTTAAAGACAATTGGCAGCGGGTGTTGGTTTTGTGGCCAAGGGAGAGAACCTGCTTGGGGTCACAGGTTAGGTGAAGATCTTGTTTCTGACCAAACCAGTCAGTTTAAAATAATGGACAGAAACCAAGAAATACTATAGGCTATCCAGGCCTCAGAGCAACCCCAGAGCCCTGGGCCCAAGTCCCCCTAAACCAGGGACCATCATTTTCTTTACCACCATCCTGTCCAAACACCAGGGGAAAAGGAACACTTGCTATATTCTAGCCCTGACTCAGGCTCCCACCTGTATCAGCTGCCACTATCTTAGCAATCTGGCTGCGCAGGTGGCTCAGCTCATCCTGCAGCTCTGTGGTGCGGCTCAGGGCTGGCAGGGCTGGCTTCTTCAAGGCCAGGAGCCTCTCCTCGGACCCTCGCAGGTTGGGCACTGAAGCATTGCGCTGCATGACAATCAGAGGGCTGGGCTTCCAGGTGTGCCTCAGAGGGCGGGTATCACTCCTGGACCAGGGGAAGACGGATATCAGAGTCAGCTGGCCACTGCACCCCTTCTAAAATTCCTTCACCCACTCCGACAGGATTAACAGCTACGTTCTGTTTCCATTCTGAGCCCAGAGATCTCATTCCTATTGTCCTCAGTCTCTCACAAGCACTCCCCCTACTGCCTGCCACCTCATCTGGGAAGAAGCTCCCCATTCCCCAGCAGACTGGCCATTGCCTCAGCTACCTGACCCGGGCATATGTCTCCTCTTCATCTGCAGCAATCCAGGCAATGTCGGCCAGAGTAGGGACCGGGGGCACATCCCTCAGACACAGATCAGAGATGTTGGGGAGGGTCTATAGGGAAGCAAAATTCAACATACCATGATAAGACAACCAGACTGGACAAAATACATAGGAGGGGCACCTAATCCAGCACAGGATGTCGGGAAACCTTCCTAGAGGGAGAGGAGGGTTCTAGTTTGGAAACAGCTTGAATAAGAGGCCAGAAGCAAGAGAGTTTATGGGATTACAAACAGTTCAGCATGGCTAAAACAGGATGGGAGTGAGGGGGATGCAAGAGGTTGGAAAGTGAATTAGGAGCTTTGATTTTAAGACCAATACACCACTGGAAGATTTTAAATAAGGATTAGATTTTTGGTTTGAAAAGATTACTCTGCTGCTGTGTGGAACATGGATAGGAAGGTGAACAGTTATGAGGCTGTTGTAGCCTTCAAACAAAAACCATTACCTAGCCCAACTGAGTGGTTGAGCACCAACCCATGCACCAAGAGGTCTCTGGTTCGATTCCTGGTCAGGGCACATGCCCAGGTTGTGGGCCTGATCTCCAGTGGGGGTCATGGAGGAGATGGCCAGTTGATGTTCTCTCTTTCGCTCTCTTCCTCTCCCTTCCTCTCTCTCTAAAAATTAATAATGAAAAAAACAAACTATAAAACAGGGTTGCCTAGAGGAGGGATGGGGTCTGTTTTAATAGTTTTATTTGAAAAAGAGTTCCACAGATTTTTTTTAAAAAAGAATATATGTTTTACTGATTTAGATACAGGGAGAGAGAGAGGGAAAGAAACATGAACAAGAGTGAAACGTTGATCGGCTGCCTTCTGCCCACCCCCTACTGGGGATAGAGCCCAAAACCTGGGCATGTATGTGCCCCAACTAGGAATCAAACCAGCGACCTACGCTCAACCACCTAAGCCACACGGGCCAGGGTCCACTGATTTGTTTAGGTGTTGTCTGTAGTGGCTTTTAAGCCCTAACTGCAAAAGTGAGTAGTTGAAACACTGTTGTGGCCCACAGCCTAAATGTTTATTATCTGGCCTTTTAAAGAAAAGGGGTCTTTAGTGGGACCAGCCAAAGTTACTTTTTAACAGAGATGTCTACTGTCTAAGAGTGTCTTGCCCTCTGGTTGTGAGAATGCAAGGACATCAATAATATTACATCAACAGGAAGTTTCCTTTGGCTAGCTCTTTACAACACCTTTGTAGCTAACTGGGTAACTGGGATTTACATTGCTTTAATCCAATTTGATAATTTCAGTATTTAGACTTGACTAAAAGGACATGATTAATTATACAAAAAATATAGTAGGATCCCTTAAAATAGACCCTCAACCCAAATGAAAAACCTAGGGAACAGAGAGGCTGAGTGACACTATGTTAAAATTAAATGAAAAATTAGGAGGATTCAATCATGTTGAGTGTGAATACAAAAAGCAAAAAAAACTAGAAAAAGAACTACACTAAAATAGTAATAGTTGGTGTAATGACTGATTATAGTTAATTTTTTTTCCTTTTTCCTTTTTAATAATTTTTCTTTATTGATTTTAGAGAAAGGGAGAGAGTGAGAGAAACATCAATGAGCGAGAACATCAACTGGCTACCTCCTGCATGCCCCACACCAGGGATCAGATCAGGGCCACAACCTGGGCATGTGCCCTGACCAGGAATTGAACTGGTGACCTCTTGGTGCATGGGTCGATGTTCAACCACTGAGCCACACCAGCTGGGCTCCTTTATCCTTTTTTTCCCCTTAATCCTCACAAGAGGATATGTTTATTAATTTTTTAGAGAGAGAAAATTGATGTGAGAGAAAAACTGATTGACTGTCTCCCATATATGCTCTGACTGGGGATTCGAACCTGCAATCTTTTTGGTATGCTGGACCACACTCCAACCAACTGAGCCACCCATGCTGGGCTCCTTTCTCTTTATTTTCCATAATTTAATTTTTTTCATAATTTAATATTTTTATATGAGTAAATTAAAAAAATCAAGATTCCCTTAAATATTGAAGGTAATTTACAACAGAAATTCAGGAATAATTTCTCAAAAACCCATCTATACATTAGTTACATCCAGCTATTTCTGCTACCAGTTGTTTGGTAGGTGGATCAGGAGTTGATGGCTCTCACTCTTAGCTAGGGAACCTGGGTCTCACAGCAGTGAAGTGATCTTCATGGATCCAGGAGCTGCTGCTAAGGCCAACCATTTAGGGAAGCAAGCTTTCCTTGAGCTAGAGCACTGTGCTATTGGCAATTAAATGAGTCAACACAGATAAAGTACTCAAGCACAGTGCCTAGCACACAGTACGTGCTCAGTAAATGTCAGCTGGTATTACTGATACAGGCATACCTCCCTTTATTGTGCTTCACAGATGCTACATTTTTACAAATTGAAGGCAAAACCCTCCATGAGTAAAAAAGGTTACGATTCGCTTTATTGTGATACTTGCTTTATTGCGGTAGTCTGGAACTGAACCTGTAATATCTGAGGTATGCCTGTACTATTCACACATACTCCTACCTTGTGGGAGCCTGTGCCCTTGATTAGCTCTGCCCAGCAGCATCTGGCCAAAGGACTGGAGAGATTATAACCAAGTGTGGCAGCAACCTCCATCGAGTCCTCCATACTCCCTAACTGTGCTGCTCTTGTTGATGGTGCTTCAGGCAGCTAGGGCCATATCCACCCCCAAAACACACACACACACTCTCTCTCCCTCCCTCCCTCCCTCTCCCTGCCTCTCTACCTCTCAACCCTATTCCTGATGCTAATACCAACCCTGACACCACTTCTGACTCCAGATCCAGCTCCTACACAGACTTCATAGATCAGTGTGTAATATACAAATTCATCTCCTTTGTTTCTGTATCCACTCAGGCCCACATCTTTCCAGGCATATATTTCTGCCTCCTCTGTGTAGGCAGAAAGCTGGAATATTTCTTTTATCCCAGTTCCCTAGACACACACCTTAAGCATGTAGCCTGAAGCTGGCGCTTAACCATTAGTCTTAGAGGGAGGCAGCTGGGACTACTAAATGTTACTTGGTTTTCTATTGCAGAAGGGGGTCTCAGAGACACAGGCCAGGCAAGAATCTCTACTGCAGAGTAGGTGCTACAGGTCCCATAGACAAAGAGGTAAGGCTGAAGTAGCCCAGTAAAGGGGTGACCAGACTTGCCCAGAAAGAAGAGGCTAGGCCTCAGGGAAACTAAAAATAGGTGTCTTAAGTGGCCAAGTCTTAGGCTAGTAAAGAAAAGCAGAGTTCAGCTCAGAGTCACACACAGCACTCGGTGTTCCATGTGGGATCTGCCAGGGCAAACACCTTGGAGCGCAGGCCTGGCTAGTCTGGAGATGTGGGTCAGCAAGGGCCTCTGGCCTGCTCTGAGAAAGTGGACTGTTAGAGTCTGATGAAATCTGAGTCACAGCAGAGGGATCAAACATTTAAGATTATGAATTTATGAGTAAATTGGAAACCTGACTGTTGTGGTCACAGGTTTGTATGCGCAGTCAGGAAGGCACAGTGACCAGGATCCATTAATAAGCACTTACAAAATGAAAACAAACAAAATGACCAGGAGTCTGGGGCACAGAGCAGCACCATCCTTCCAACCCTTCTGAACCTCTCGTCTCCCTGCCCTTCCAGTGCACTCACCTCAAAGGATGCCCGGGGACATGGCTTCAGGGGCAGGTTGGTCCCAATTCTTCTCACTACACTTCGAGCAGCCCCATGAGGTTTGTTTTGCCAGATTGGGATGGTCTAGAATAGAGCGACAGCCGCAACCTCAGAGGTGAGATCAAGTATTGTTCCATCCTCTCTCCCACTTCCACCAGGGAGACTGGATTCCTCAATCCCAGGGACAGTGGGGATAAGTCAAGTCTCAATTATAAGTGAGGGCAGGTTTCCCAGTTGTTAGCCTTCACCTTGGCAAGCTACCTAAGGGATACCTGCTGCTGCCAAGGCACAGTTGTTGGGAGGGTCCAGTAAAGAGCTGAGGCGTTAGATGGGTATAGGAATCATCCAGGCTTCCCTCCCTTCCCTTTGCACAGAAAAGCAGAAGCACATTAACTCTTTAACTGCCCCCAATTCATAGTTGGTTCTGTTTGGAGGAGGGGGTGGAAGGGTGGCCTCCCTCCAGTTCCAGCCTCCAGGGGAAAGGAAGGATTACCTAGCGAGTCTCAACTTCAGCAGGCCCTGTGCTCAGCCTTCCCCACCACACCCTGGCCCTGGGAATGCCCCTTACCACATTGGCTTCCATTCCCGACATGTCAACCAGCTCCTGCACTTGAAGGACAAGGCGGCTTGGGGAGGTGGGAGGCGTGATTCCTTCATATCAGGCCATCTCAAGGAACACCAGAGTTCCCTTCCTGTGGAACAACCCGCACTGTGGGGACTCAATGACCACCACACAAGCCCCACAAAACCAAGCCCTGCAGAGCAGTGACTGACACCAAGGTTTCTCTTACATTTCACAGGGGAGAAAACCAGTCCAAGAGGCTGCCCTCACCCAACAATGGCTCTTCCAAATCCAGACCCTTAAAGATTCTGTTCCAGACTTGTTGCATAAGCTTGGACAACCCTGGGAGCCCTCCTGGGCCCTTGGATTTCTGAGGCAAACCTTCTAAAGATGAAATAGAACACTTGTAGTTGAAAAGCTCATGGGAAAGGCAAAGTGTAGGTACCACCCAATCCATGCATTCATTCTTGAAGATGAGATGTAAAAGCGCAGCATGTGCCACCCAGTCTAGCACGGCTGGGCCCCCATGGGGGAGAGCCAGGCTGTGCTGAATGACAGCAGGAGAATGAAGAGCCTGCTCCAGCCAATCTACATCTACTGTGCCTACTATGCCTACGGGGGAAAGGGCAAATTCTTTTATCCTGGCTCAGCTGTGTACTGGCTTGTAGCCATAGGCCAGTCACTTAATCTTGCTAAATGTTGGTTTCTCCACCTGTAAAAAGAGGACAAGAACAGCTGCCACTAGGCTACTTTAAGGATTAACCAATGAAATAGGTAATTTTAAAGGACTTAATGAACTGTTAAAATGTGACAGATGGCTAGGGTCACCTCCTGACATTCTTCACAGCTGCCCTTGCATGGTGGGCAGATGCAATCAGTGAGCTCACTCATTCCTGTGTTCATCAAACACTAACAATGCCCACCTTGTGCTGGGCACTGTAGGGACTATGGAGGATTAAGACAGCCACGCTCTCAAGGAACTCACAATCTAGAAGAGAGAGCACCTGAATACATAATTCTAGCCAAGGCTGAATATCACTGCTTAAGAAAGGCACACTAGGCAGGTGGCCAGGAGAATTTAGTCCCCTGACCTTAAGGTTCTATGGTGAGTTTGGAGGGGGAAGGAAGGGAAGAAAAACAGCAGTGCAGGTCCAGGGCAGGAAGGCGAAAGATATCTGAGAGGAGCAGAGTATGATAAGGGGTAAAGATTAACTGGGGGTCAAGTCATGAGGGCTAGGAATACCCAGGTAAGAAGTAACTGGGGAGCCAGGGAAGGCTCTGAACAGGGGATGGACTGGACTACCAGAGCAGCTCCTTATGGAAATCTTTGTCGAGTCTCTTTCACCCCTGTAAGAGGAGTTATCACTCACTCTATGGAGAAAGGAAGCTGGATAGAAGGAAGCTATCATTCACGCCGGGGAAAGGGAGCTAGAGAGATGAAGGAATTGTCTGGGTCACTCAGTAAGCATGCCAGTAGGAAGCAACTCAAGTCTGGTCCAAATCCTGCTGCTTCCTGCATGGGCTCAACTTCTAGGCGCAGTTCAAGCCTTCTGTCCAAGTCTCTCTGCTGAATGTCAGTGCCTGACAAGCTCCACGTGACCGTGCTTTCTTGTTTCTCACTTTAGTCACTGTAGCCACTTCCAGTCTGAACTTAACCTCCAAAGACTCAGTTGGGCCTAAGTCTCACACGACAGCCAGAGAGAGCTTTCTAGAACACATTGCTAATCTTACTGTTCCTTTGTTTAAAATCCCTACAGATCTAGATTCCTGCAGGCCTTCCCAACCTCAGTAGACCAAACTCATCACAGCCTACAAGGCCTACAAGCCACATTTCATGGCCATACATCCCACGTTCTGCTTGTCTGTCCTCCAGCCACCGTGGCCTTTCAGTCCCCTAACACCACCTCTGAGGCCTTGTCCCCACCATTCCTTCTGCTCAACACACCAGCACCCCCTTCCCAAAGCTCATTCTTAGTAATAATTCTGAGCTCAGCTCAACCATCACCTCCCCTTCCCTGACAGAAGTCCTTTACTGTTCACCCCACAGCACCCTGTATTTCCTCCACAATGAACTGCAATGTGCCACTTGTCCCAAGGACAGGGACTTCCCTAGGCACAGCACAGTGCCCGTCGCCCACAGTACACCCGCATACATTTGTCCAGTTAAGAAATGAATGAACGGGAGCACCGACTCAGCCTTCACACCCTCCCCCACCACCTGCACGCAGCGTCAACTGGCTAGGAGCATCCTGTCCCGGTTCAGTGGTAACGCTGGTTGGTTCTTAACCACCTCTGCGCTCCCACAGCCCCTCTCGAGGCTGCTGTCATGTTTACACATGGTCTCCTGCAGAGACGGGCAGGGCAGGGCCTGGTCAGTGTCCTCACTCCTGGGTCCCTGGCGCCCCACGGAGACCGCCGCGCTCAGTGAAACTTTGCTCAGCGGACAGCTGCGCGGGGAGCCGCTGCGGGGACCTTGCCCAGGACACGCCTCCCTCCCCCGCAACAGCCCGACCCGACAGGGGCAAGGTCGGCCAAGTTCTCGCGGCCGGGCCAGGCGGTCCCTGAATCCACAGGCCCCAGACGAGCGAGGAGGTGGCAGAGGCGGCCCGGCCTGCCGAGGACCGCGGCCAAAACGAGAAGCCTTCGGTGTAGCTCGGCCACCGAAGCTTGGTGACTCGGACGAGCAATTACCCCGTGGGGTCTCAGTTTCTCCTCTTGCCAAATGAGGCCGACAACACCGGCTCCCGCGAGAACTGGCGCGGGAAGAGGAGCCGCGAACCCCGCACAGCGCCTGGCACTAGGCCGTGCTCCCTCCTCCCGGGCGGCCCTCGGACCTAGTCACTCACCTAAGACTCCGGCTCCGGGACTCACCTCACGGCCCCTCCTACCCCAGCGGGCGGCTCAGCCTCAACTGCCCTCACTTCCGCTGGCCCGCCTCCGGAAGCTATCCTTTGCAGCTGCGCACCGAGCCGCGCCCCCGCGCGCCCTGGGAAAGCGGCCCCGCTCTAGGCGGGGCGAGCGGGGCGCACGGGCGGGCCCTGAGGGAAGGACACGCCCACCCCAAACCACGCCCCCTCCTGTCCCAGCCCTAGGGAGAAATTGATGGGTGCCGGAGGAAGCCTGATTAGTCGCATACCCCTTGGTCTCGGTGAACTTGCCGCTCTTAGTGCCAAACCGACCTTTGGGATCCGAGGTCTGTGTCGCTGCTCGCCCCCCATATTGTGTGATGTCTACTGTCCCCACACCGACTGCACACTTGAGAACCCTGGCGTTCCAGGTCCTTGGGCCCCAGAGCTTGCCTTGCACATCGCTCTGGTCCTCTTCACAGTTCATGCTTACCAAGACCCTCTCCAGCCTGCTCTCCAGCAAGAATGCCCTCCAGCGCTTTGTAGCTTTCTCCCGTTTTATTTTATTTTTGGTAGTACGTGACCCTAGCGGAAATGAACCCAGGACTCTCTGGTCTGCAGGCTGTCGCTCAACCGCTGAGCCAAACTGGCCAGGGCCCGTTTTAGTCTTTATGTATTACACATACAGTATTTTCTTTTTTTTTTTTTTTCTTTTTTTTATCCTCACCCGAGGACATTTTCCCATTTTTTGTTCAGATTGAGTGGGAGGGAGAGAAAGAGAGAGAAACATCGACGTTGAAAGGGACACATTGAGTGGTTGCCACCCGCACGACCCAACCAGGGCTGGCGATAAATTGCAACCGAGGTACGTGCCCTTAGCGGGAACTGAACCCGGGTCTCTCTGGACCGCAGGCCGACGCTCTAACTGCTAAGCCAAACTGGCCAGGGCCACATACAGTATTTTCAGTGACTTTGTTAATCAGATGGGTAGGGTAGATCCCAGAAGCATTGGGAAAGAGAACCACCCACATTCCCACATTCCTTCCAGGCTCACTCATCCACTCTGGTCTTTGTCTCCATGGTAAGTCCCAGCTGCCAGGCACAGGCCTGTCACATGGGGCCTCAGGTCAGGGCTCTGCGCTTGCTTTAATGTTCTGCTGTTGCCCTCTTGAAATTCATAATAATAAACAAGGGGCCCTGTATTTTTATTTTGCACTGGATCCTGCAAATTATGTTAGCTGGTCTTGGCCAGAGACCTCAGATGTTGTCCTTTATCCCCATCATATTTCAAATGATGTTGACTACCAGGTCCAGACCTTTTTCCAGGATGGCAAACTGTTGCTTAATCGATTTCACTCTCCTGGACAATGGCAGATCTTGCAAATTCACCCTAGCTATTTCCTGGATGTGGTAGATGCTGTCTTGGTGCCCCACCCAGATTACCTTATTCTGCCAGTGAATCCATCCTCTAGCTGCTGTGTTGGCTGCTCATAGCTGCCCCCCTTTCTGGAAAATTGCCCTTGCAGAGAGAATGGAAGCCCTATCCTGGGAAGTTACTCCACCCCTCCCACCCCCCCAGCCAATGATTGGCTGATGCAGGTTACAAAAGGCTGGTTCAACTCGGGTGTGTTTGTGCTTCAGAGCCCTTTCTCTGCGATCAGGCCAAGGCTACGCTTTGACTCTATCCCTGCTCATTGTTTTTCCTTTTCCCTTTCTACTTCACTCTTTTTACAAGTTTTTCTTGAAGTGCACTCCCTCAAAAAAATAAAAAATTACCTAATGCAAGTGTTGAGCTGTGCTTCTAAGACAATGGGTTTTTATTTTATCAACACAGCATCAGATTCTAAATATAGTACGTTCCATTAGGAGGTCCACTACAAAATTATTTTAAGAAAGTCACTCAAGACCTCTGGTGACAGATAAGATGTCCCCAAAGGCATTCCAGCAACACTCCCTTGCCCATCTGGCAAGCCAACCCCACAGGAGTCAGATCAAGGACAAAACTGAACATCCCACTCAAAGGAAAGGCACTTCGAACCACCCTCATCTCTCCAACTTTTTTATGGGACATGTTGGGAACAGGTGAGGGAAGTGGCAGAGGTGACAAGAGGGCAGCTGGTGGCCCTCCCCCACCATGAACTTCGAGGCACATGGGGGTCAGGCAGAAGCATCTGAGGATGCAGAAAGCCCAAGCAACCAGTACCTTACCGCACCCAGCCTTGGGAGCACTGAGGTTTAAGGACCCTCCCTCCCTGGGCAGGGCCTGAGGCATGCCTCCAGGAGGAGGCCTTGCTGAGCTTGCTGGCTCATGCCTCATTTGGTCTAGAGGTTAGAATGCTGAGACATTTTGGTTTGAAAGGCTTTCTTTTTCACCTCAGTGAAAACAGGGGAGAGAGGTAGGGGTGCAATGCAAAACAAAACACCCCCAAATCAAGACTCAGGCTGAACCTCAACTCTACCACAGTGATGTTGGGCAAGTCACTTCATTTTCCTGAGATAAAGTTTCTTTATTTGCAAAATGGGAACAATTAACATCTGCCTCATAGGCCTGTGAGGATTGGGAAAAGATGTCACCCTAACAAAGGGCCTCAGATAGAGAAGGCTCAGTATGGCTACTCCACTGGCAGGCAGGGGGCCCAGCAGATGAAGGCCTGGGAGAGCGTCTGAGCAAATGCCTGCCTTCCTTCCTCTTCCAGGTTTAAGAGTGAGGCCCTGTGGGGCAAGGGTGGGAGAGGTTCGCTCAGAGGCCTTAGTGAAAGCCCTAGGAGCCCTTCTGGGCCTGAGCAGACAGCAAGATTACACTGACCTCTGAGGACTGTTTTTAAAAAACTAGAAGAGGAGAAGGAAGAGAGGAATGTTTCTTCCATGGAGCAACTAGAGACATCAAGCTGGATCCATCTAGGATTTCAGACCCAACCATCATGGGCAGCTGCGGGAGGAAGCCTTTGCCCCTTCCTTCTCCTTAGCACTGGGGTTATAAAAAATACCTACAAACTGAGAAAGTTCATGTAAAAACACTTCTCTGCACATACAAAAAAGAGACTGGCTGTGGTCAGTGGCTTGGGATGTGAACCAAGGCCCTTAATGTGGCCAAGGAGTCAACAGCCACGCAGTGGTGGACACGGGTCTGGGCTGCCCTGGCAGCTGGGACGGAGGCTCTTCTTGGCTGGGCTCCACGTCTCGAGCTGAGAGCTCAGGGGCAGGAGGCAACAGCAGGGCTCTGGCTCCAGCAGTCCTACTGTGATCCTGCGCTGGGGTTGGCAGGGGTGTGCCTTGGGTCTGGGCCTCAGGGACTTTCAGTGGAGCCCCTTGTTAAGGGCAGCAGCCTACTTCACAGTAAACCTCAGAGAGCTGGCCTCCAGCAAGTCCCCAACAGGTCTGGAGGTCCTATCAGTAGGTCGGATAGACTAGACTGGTCTGGGGAGCCAAAGTTTGGGGTACTGTATGGTTCCCCCTTCTTAAGGAAGGTTCTGCCCAGAGTCTCCAGATGGCTGTCTCTGGCTGAGCCTGACCCCGGGGACACCAGGCACAGGAGGGCAGCTAGGGCTGTGGCCAGGATGAAGGCTCTGGACAGAAAACAGAGTCCTTCTCTGTCACCCCCCCACCAGATGCCAGGACTTCTTGATGTTCCTTTGGGAAGGGGTGACAGTAAGGAGAAAAGGGTGGCCCTGTTTTCCTAGCACCCAGTTCTCCCTATTCTTCACAAGGGCCTAGACTATGTGCCTGAGAGGGTGACATCTAGGGAAATGACCCCAGGCTCCATGCTGGCGGGTCCCAAGCAGCTTCCAGAGCCAGGTGGGTAGTAAAGGGCCAATGGTGGAAGCTGGAGCTAAAGATTCACCCACCGGTCAGCCCAGGCACCCCCTTTGCCCCCCCCCCCCCTAACAAATGGAAAGCTAGGACAGCCACCCAGAGTTGACCTCTGACCTCACAGGCAGCCTGGGGGTGGTGGGGTTGGGAATGTCGGATGTTTGAAATGTGCAAGGACCACACTGGCTCTGGGGCTGAGGGGCCTCTTCCCAGCTCCTTCTCATGGTCCACAAGAGGCAGGCGCACTAGGGCTGGAGGAGGGGCAGGCCGAGCCGGAGGCCCTCCTTCAGGAACTGCATGTAGGTGGCAGTGGACGGATCTTCAAAGGTGGATGAGAAGCTGAAGGCGTTGTTCTTGGCAGTCTCAGGCTTAAGGACGGTGACGTCCAAGAAGTAGTTGGCGTTGATGTGGTGGACCTTGGAGAAAGGCGGGGTGAAGCACGGGGGCCCACCCAGGCTCAGAGCCCCTCTGCTCAGTCTGCTCATCCTCTCGGGACAAGTGGCCACTTTCAGGCCTCAACTGCCCTCACTGAGGCGGATGGCAGACAGAACCCTCGTCAGACCGTCCCCGGGCCAGGCTGCTGCCCCCTCTTGCCTCTGCTCACACAGGACCCTGTGACCACAGAGCTCGCGCACCTGTCCACTAGGGGACACCTAATGCCCTTCGATCCACCTTTCCCTCGCTGCCTCCACCCTGCTCCTGTGAGCCCTGAACTCCACTCCCTCTGTCGGGAAGAGCAGGAGATGCTGAGGCTCCCAGGCAGGCCTGGTTGCAAAGCCAGCTACACTGCTTTTAAAAAAACCCTCACTGGAGGATATGTTGTTGTTTTTTAGAGAGGGAGGGAGGGAGGGAGACGGAAACAGAGAGAGAGAGAGTGTGTGAGAGGGGAGGGGAGGGGAGGGGCAGGGAGGAGAGGGGAGGGCACTGTGCCTGCTGCTTCCCAGTCCCCTGGGTCCTGTTGAAGGTCCCCCTTCCCAAAGGAGCATGCTGACACCTGCACGAGGCAGGCAGGATTCCTATTCTGTAAATGTGGTAACAGGCTCAGGCTGGCTAAGAGACTAGCCAGGATGTGGTGGAGCCAGACCCCAAGCCTGATGAGGTCTGTGAGTCTGTGCCCCTGGCTGGCTGCTTCCTCTACCCACAGTGCCAGGCCCTGGGCTGTGTTGGGCTGTGTTGGGCAGTGGGGGTGACCTACCACGGTGCCATTGGGCAGACAGATCATCATCTCCACGGGGAAGCTGTACTTCTCTAGGTGCAGGTCAGCCAGCTTCTTGTGGGATGGGTTCTTCTGGTCCTTCTATAGGGACAGTGGGGCACACTCGTGATGCCTCAGCCCCCAGCATTGTCCTAGGGGCTCCCAAGGGGCTGTTCCCATCCACCCTCCATTCACCTGCAGGTTCTCCAGCTCCTTCACCAGGGACCAGGTGCTAATGAAGCTCTCGTTGAGGAGGGCAAGGATGGGCGAACTTTCCAGGACTGTCTCCCGGAGAGTCCGCCCTGACCCTGTTCAGGGAGAGGCAAGGCCAGAAGAGTGAGGAACCCCTATATATCTTACTGGGTTTCAATCAGCAATAAAGATGGACTACAGAATGGTCTGTGCACCCAAGTGAAATAACAGAGTCAGAGTCTGTAGATGCTGAGTAAGTGGTAGCTGTAATTCACATCAATAACATACTGGTATTCTGGGCTGAGACTTAGGGTGGAGCCCTACCCAGGGACTTGGTCTCAAATTCATGAAACTCTGTGTCCCAGGGCCTTTGCATAAACTGTTCTTCTACCTAAAATACTCTTCCTGTCACTTGACAAACTCCTACTTATCCTTCAAAATGTCACCTTAAACATCACTTTCTCTAGGAAGCCTTCCCTGACACCCAGTCACATGCCCTCATGCCCTCTGGTCCTCGCCTGTGTACACTCACCACGCTCGTACTTATTTATTCAGTACGCTGTGCACTGCCCAAGGACAAGGACCACTTCTGACTTCCTCGCTGCACGCCTCCCAGCGCCTAGCCTGCGCTGTGGCACAGGAGGTGCCCAGGATGTTTGCTGAGTGACTGGACGAGGACAGGCTCATCATTTCACTCATTTTTGTTCCCACTGTGTGACACCCAAAGAATTTTGCACCTGGCAGGTCTTCAGTGAATTTTCTGAATAAGTGAGTGTGTGCCCAGCCTCTGGCATTATTTTATTATCTCACTTGTGTGCCACACTTCACAGAGCACAGGTACTTCCACAGCCATTTCTCCCAACTCTGGGAGGTGAGCGTGTTACCCCTCCCTTACTGCTGAGAAATGGGCTCGGGGACGGGAAGTCACTTGGCCAAAGTTTCTAAGCTGGAAATGGCCGAGTTGGGCTCTTTCTATGGTATCCAGCAGCTTATTCTGCACTCAGCACAGAAACCTCCCAAGCCCTCACCCCCGCCATTGCCCTGTGTAGTCCCCAAGTCCCTCACCCCCTGCTCCAACAGCAGAGGCCCATGGGTCTTAGAGCCTCCTGTACTCCACAAGGTGTGAAGTTTCCCCCCACTCTCCCCTGGGGCTGGCCAGGTCTCCCTCACCTCAGCAGGACTGGTCATCCAGGGCCCCCCACAGCAGGATCGAGTGCACCAGTTTGTTCTTGGCCTTGGCTTGGTCGAAGGCCTCGGTGAACGGCAGGTAGGTGACCTGGGGCCAGCCGAGACAGAGAGAAGCTATTGTGTGCAGCCAGGGTCCCATTCAGGGCCTGAGTGTATAAAGTGTATGTGTGTGCAGTATGTACAGAGTGTGTGTGTGTGTGTGTGTGAGAAGGGGTGGTGCTGAGATGGGGGATGCCTCCTCCAAGGTCTGACAGGCAAAGGGAGGCTCCCCTGGCACCACTGGGTCCTGCGGTGAGAAAGCCTAAGTAGCAAGCCCTACACTCATAGCCCAGCACCCTGTGCCTACCTGCTACTCTCCCAGCCCCAGCTCCAGCACCACAGATCCTGACCCCGCCCTCACCCCTGCCCAGCCTCACCTTCTTGAAGGGGTACATGGCCACCTCCAGGCGTCGGGCAGCCTCCTCCCAGCTCAGCTTCTGCTGCCACTTGATCTTCTCAAACACAAATGGGAGGGGCTCTCCCGTGGGCAGGTGGCTGTCAATCATGTTGCCATCCTCATCCAGGATCACAGAGGGTATCGAGGGGCCTGTGGCCTGCAGCTCCATCTAGGCCGGAGGTTGACGAGGAATGACATCAGTGAGGGATGTCTCAGAGATGGCCAAGAATCCTCAAGGAGCCCTGAGAAACCCTTAAAGATACCCCACTCATTGCAGAGGTGGGGAAACTGAGGCCCAGGGAAGGGCAGGGCCCGGTCAAGACTACGCAGTGAGTCCAGAACAGGGCCAGTGTTCAGCCAAGCTCCTTCCTCTGCGTGAAGCTGTCTGAGGGCCATGGCAGATGCTGGGTTCTGGGCGCAGAAACAGGATCCTGCTTTGGGACAGTTGGCCTCAGCCTGCCAGGGGCTCCATACTTCACCCCAGACTACCCTGGGGCTCCTTGCCAGGTGGCCCCTCCCTGCAGACAGGCTGAGAGGCCCTAGGACAGAGCCTTGCATTTGAGCCCCACCTTCCAGCTGGGTAGGGACCATCTGTGTGCTCACCTGGGGTATGTAGCCAATGTCCACTTCCATATTGCTGTTCTCACTGGCTCCATACAGCCACTCCATGTCCACATTCAGAGACCTGGAGACGGATGAGAGGGTGATCAGGCTAGAAAACCATCAGCATGGCCCACGAACCATGTCACACTTTATCTTGCTAAAAGCTCACAGCTGTCCCCATTTTATAGATGAGGACACTGAGGCTTGGCAAGTTGAACCTAAGGTCTCAGAGCTGCTGGAACTCGAACTGCAGAGCCTGGGCCCTTTCCTGCCCCTGGGCTGCAACCACACCACCCACCACTGCCCAGCCTTCACAGTTCACAAAGGGCTTTCACATTCACGACTGTACTGCCCTCGACCCTTCCAGGCAGAGATCAGCAGTGCATCCTCTAGCGCACAGTGGAGCAGGTATGAAAACCTGGCAGTTCTCCAGCAGGAAGTCTGGCCTAACCAGGTACCATCTGCAGATCTGCCACATGGCGGCGCCCCAGGACTGACAACCAACCACTTTGGGCAGAGTGAGCTGGCTGCTCTCAGAGGGGATCAGCAGGCCCTGTGGCTTGGTCCTGGGGCTGGTCATTTGGCCCTCTCTTTCTGTTTCATCCAGTCCAGGACCCCCCACCTTCAAACCCGGGGTGGAGACAGTCCTGGGCTGAGCCTGTGGGGCACAGGTGCTTGCCTGCTGAGCAGAGGGAGGAGGAGTAAAAGGAGAGGAAGCCACTCTGTTCCTCAGGGCAACTTTCTCTACCCATGTCATCCTGATCATCCCTTCACTCCTGCCAGCTCCTACCTAGAAAATGAGGAAACTGAGGCCCAGAGAGGGTCAGGGCCTTGCCCTCAGACATGCAGTTTGCTGGTGTCCCTGTACAGAGTCACTGAGTGGCCACTTAGGAATCATGAAAGACTCGGTACAAGAGGCTGGCCCTGAACCAGTTGGGCAGGCAGGAAGGTGGTTGGCATAGAGCCATCCCAGAGGCCCCTCGAGGCCCAGTGGTGGCAACCATGGGCAGTGGAGGGCCTGCCTGCCCTGAGGCCTTTGCATGTGCTGTTCCCTCTGCCCAGCCAAACCTTCCTCACCCCCAGATCTCTGCTTAGATTCCCTTGCTCTCAGAAACCTTTCCAGACCCCAACCATCCAAGTCCCTGCCCACCTGCTGGCCTCCCTCTAGGGTGGCATGAGCAAGCTGTGGTTATGGGTCAGCATTATAAGAGTGGGAGGCTCCAGTTTCAAAAAGGGTCTGTTGGTTCTTCATTGGGTTCTAGGCACAGAGTTGGTGAGCCAGGCCCATGCAGCACCTGGGACATGCTTGTCAAGTGATGGAATGACCCTCCTCAACCTGCCCCTTCCTGAGGGTGCCCAGGCCTCTCCCAAGAGAAGAGGCAGAGACTGAGGGGGACACTGGGCACCTGTTTCCAACCCTGGGGCTGGGGGTTTGGCCAAAGCTCCCACCTGTGGTTGGGCACATAGAGCCGGAAGTCGCGGACATGGGTGGCATCTTTGGAGAGGATGATGTGGCCGGTGAACTGGGCGGGCGAGAACCAGAAGGGGAAGTGGGGCGGCTCACTGAGCTGGAACTCGGCATGGATCCTGGGGGAAAGAGGCACAGCTGGGAGCAGGTCCCATCGAGCTGCAGCTGCCCTCCCACATCTGCCCCAAAGCCTGGGAAGCAGACTGTGTGGGGGACAGGGCTGGGCGTGGGCTACGGAGAGTGTGGGGGGGGCAGGGAGAAGGCGCAAGGCCTCCCAGCATGCCCATCCTCAGGGCCCAGCTCACATCCTTCAGCAGCCCTGTCCGACCCTCCTGAGCTCTCAGTCTCTCGAGGGTGTGTAGGACCTGGCGTCACAACTCTATACACCCCTCTTCTGTGTGGATGACAAACACAGCCACCAGCCCTGTGCTAAGCACGCTCTGTGCTTTTCTCTTCCTCCTAGGAGAAAATCACTGCCACCCTGATCGTCACATGAGGAAACTGAGGCTCAGAGAGCCCAAGGCCACAGGGTGCTAAGTGGTGGAGCGGGGGCTCTGAGCCAGGCCTGCTCTTCCCTTGCTGTGCTGCCCTGGAGCCCTGGGGGCGAGGGAGGCAAGGATGGGGCACGAGGACCACTCACCGGAACATCACAGTGTAGAAGAAGTCGCTGATGGCGGTCAGGCAGGCGACTGCCCCCTGAGGGGTGAAGCGGGTCTTCACGAAGGGCCGAGGGTGGAACATGCTCAGCAGCCGGTGGATGATGACCTGGGGGAGGGCAGTGCAACCCAGCCTGGCTGCTAGGCCCTGTGGGCCTAGGGTTCAGGGTGGAGGTGGGTCAGCAGGGAAGTGGGCAGCAGGTGGGGTAAGCCTGGCATGGGGGTCCAGGTACAGATAGGGTGGGGCCATGCCTGGACTGGGGCAGGGTGCAGGGCCTGGGGCTCCCATGGGCTGCCCTCACCTCCTTGCCCTTGGGTGGTGGTGGGTAGAAGCGGTTGTTGGACAAATAGCCGGTGAGGACGCTCAGCTCACTGGGGATGATCCACCAGGGCTCGCCCAGCTCCACCTGGCCCCGAGGGGGAAGGAAGGGCCGGAAATGGCGGGCGGCAAACAGTGCACTTGGCAAGGCTGCGGTTGTCCAGTTGCGGAGGCCAGACAGGGCCAGGCGAGAGACCTGGAGCAGGGAAAGCCAAAATTCTGGGGCACTGAGCACCATGACTTTGGGGTCCCCTGTCCCGTGTGTGTGGAGGTCTCCCTTTAGCCCTAAGCCAACCCACAAACCAAGGGAACAGAGGGAACCAGTGAGGATGCTGCCCTGGTGATGGCCACAGGCCTGGTACTGTCCTGCCAGAGCCGAGGCTGGTCTCAACCCATCCCTCCTGGCCCCCAGCCCGAGAAGCAGTGCCCCTGTGGCCCGCTCAGGCCAAGCCCAGGCCAAAGCAGCTCCCAGGAGAGCAGGGAGCTCAGGGAGCCTGAGGGCCACCTGGGGCTGGAACAGGGGGGTCAGGGGAGCCTCCCTACCCCTTTCCATCCGCCTTGCTTTCCTCACTCGAGGACATTTTTTCCATTTTTTTGTTCAGGTAGAGTGGGAGGGAGAGAGAGGAAGAGAGAGAGAGAGAGAGAAACATCGATGTGAAAGGGACACATCGAATGGCTGCCACCCACACGACCAACCAGGGCCGGGGACAAACTGCAACCGAGGTACGTGCCCTTATCGAACCCGGGTCTCTCGGGACTGCAGGCCAATGCTCTAACCGCTGAGCCAAACCGGCCAGGGCCATCCGCCTTGCTTTCCACTCCCTGATCCCTTCTCCAAATCTCCCGAGGAGACTAGTGTTCCACTGACAAGGTCCAAGTTTGGGTCTGGAGCTAAGTCTGAGGTGAGAGGCAGTAACCACCTTTTGGGTGAAATCTCCAGGGTCAAGAGCAGGATGAGACCACAGAGATGGGAAAGAAAGGCCACCCCCAGAGAGTACCCTGGGCCACACTGGCTGGGCACCTGCCTCACTTCTATTTGATGCGCTGATAGGCAGGAGAAAACTTGGGTCAGAGACTGTAGGCCTATCTGCACACCTGCCCCGAGTGGAGGTGGGACCCTGGAGCATGCTGGTCCCCTGCAAAGTGCCACCTTTAGGAGCTCTTTCCTCCCTTCTGGGCTACTGTGGGAGTCCCTTCCCACTGAGGCATCAGCCCCATGACAGTGAGTGCCTGGCACCCCTTGGGGGCACTCAGTCACCAGGAAGCTGCTTGTCTTTGCCAGCAGCAAGTCCCCTCTCCTTTCCCTACCTTTTTTTTTTTTAATCCTCACCCGAGGACACCTTTCCATTTTTTGTTCAGATAGAGTGGGAGGGAGAGAGAGGAACAGAGAGAGAGAGAAACATCGACGTGAAAGGGACACATCGAGTGGCTGCCACCCGCACAACCAACCAGGGCCGGGGACAAACTGCAACCGAGGTACACACCCTTAGTGGGAACCGAACCCGGGTCTCTATGGACCACAGGCCGACGCTCTAACCGCTGAGCCAAATCGGCCAGGGCTCCTTTCCCTACCTTGATGGCAGTGGGGTGGGGGCCCAGGCTCTATGGGAAGTGGAAGTGGGGAGAGGGGCAGGAGGCTCGCACTGAGGGGGACTGAATAGGCGGGTCCCCAAAGCAGCACTGGCTGCGCAGGGCCAGGAAGAGCCCGCCCGCCACTGGGTCCTCATGGGCTGGCAAGCCCCTGCAGGGGAGCTGCCTGCAAAGGGGTCTGGGGGTGCTGCTCCTGACCCTCCTGCTCTGTAAGTACAGGCTCTTGTTGCTCTGCGGGGGAGACTCGTGCTCAGACAGCTTCAACCCTGCCTCTAGGCTCTTCATCACCAAGCCCATCTGCACCCAGAGCTTTTCATGGAAGGTCAGACCTGTGTTTCAAACCAACTGGACTCTCCCCACCAACTTCCCCGGTAACTCAACTTCATCCTGTCCAAACTACCCTCATTCTGTTTCCACCAGACTTGCTTCCTTCCTCCAGTTCCATGGGGCTAACTGCCACCATACACCTGGTCACCAGCCAGAAGCCTGAGTCATCAGACTCCTCCCTATCACTTTCCATCAGTAACCACGCCCTGACTCCTCCCCACCCTCATCCTCCAGGCTGTCCTTCCTCCATCACCACAGCCTCCCTCGTCCACCCCCTCCTCCCTCCCAGGAACTCATCTTCTTGCCTCTCTTTCTGTCCCAGCTGCTATCCTGGAAAGCAGAGATCTGATCAGGGAATTCTCCTATTTAAAAACTGCTATGGTATTTTGCTGTTGCAGAATGAAAGCTGAAGTCAAGCAACTGAGGCCCTTCTTGGACTGGCAACTTCTCTTCCACTGGCCCCAAGTGCCCTGTGTCCAGCCACACCTGCTCCCTGCTTTCAGTTGACTGGCCTGGCACCTTCTGCCTTCAGGCCTTTGTTCATGCCAAAAGCTGAGTAGGTGTGGGCTGGTGGAGAAAACGTTGCTCCTGGCCAAGGAAATGGTGCAGAGAAGGCTTGTGGCTGGAAGAAAGTCTGGACGTCTGAAGTGGTTGGAACAGAGAAAGCCGAGGAAAGGGCAGGAGAGAGGGTGGGAGAGGCAGGCAGGGTCTGGGGATGTTTAGGTCCCATGATGGGCTTGAGGCTTTGTCCACAGGGCCTCAGGTTAGGCAGGGCTAATTAGCAAAGCCTTTGTCAGGTGTCCTCCCCACCCCATGGCCCCCAGCTAGGGGCACAACCTCAGGTCTGATTCAACAGGACACCTGCAGCTACGGGGCATTGTGCTAGGGGCCTGGGGGTGCACAAATGTGGAGGATACAGGCCTGGCCCTCAGCAAACTCACAGCCTTTGGAAAAAGACCAACTTGTAGAAAGTGATTCTACGTGAAGAGGCTGCATCAACCATCTCTAGTGCACTTGCTGTTTCCTCCAACCAGATCCTTCCTTCCCCTGCCTCACCCGGCTAAGCCCTCCTCCACCTGCAACTCTGTCCGACGTCACTGCTCCAGGGAGCCATCCCAGATCCCCCACCTGGGTTCGAGGCTCATGCTTACCCCTCCTGCCTCCCCTCCAGACGGTGTGCCTGGACAGCAGATGGCATCGCACTCACTTCTGGACACCGCCCCCCCCCCCAAGGCCTGGCACACTGGGTGCCCAGAGGGCAGCTGATGAAGGAAGGAAAGAGAAAGATGAACACAGGCCATCCTCATGTGGTGAGTGCACACAGATGGTCCTCCTGTCTCTGTCCCACCTGTGGGGACCCCCTTGCCCTACCCCAACTCACCCCTAGGAACCCGTCTTTGCTCTTGGTCATGGACTCCAGGAGCAGAGGCTGGAATCGGGCTTCTATGGTGAGTGTCTCCTCGCTGGGGTCAGAGGGCAGCTCCTCCTCCTCATAGCTGGTCGTAGGAATTGACCCTACAAGAGACACAGATCACTGGAGAGGGGCCCTGCCCTTAGGCATCCATTCTGGCCAGGGACAAAGGGAGCCAGGCCTGGAGCTGGGAGTGGGGGTGGGGGTGCGGTAACAGCTAATAATCACCCAAGTAACAGCCAATATATATTGCCTTTTAGTTTCAGAGTAGCTCTGTTAGGCAGATAACATTACTACCAGCTCCCATTTTATGAATGAGAAACTGGAAGTTCAGAGAGGTGATGTTACTTCCCCCAGATCACACAGCTAGTGGGGGAGTCAGATTTCAAACCCAAGCCTGTTTCATTCCAAACCCACGGCCCGTCTCTGGGGGAGTTAAGACCTCAGAGCCTGTTTCCTCAAAGTCTCAGGAACCAGATGACCTAGGTTCAAATCCCGGCCCTATCCCTCACCAGCTGTGTGACAGTTGGCCAGTGGCTTGTTATTCAGCTTAAGTGAGATAATCCACGTAGTGGTAGCACTGGGCCTGGCAGAAAGTAAACCCATAATAAACTTTAACTGTGTAAACCAGAGGTTTCAGGGTCAGGGAGCCAGAGAGGTGGGGCTCAAACTACTTCTCCGGACTCCAACCTGTGCTCTTTCCACCAGGCCAGGCTGTGTGCGGAGAGGCCCATCTCACCGCCACCCTTCCCTCCGTTCTCTGAATCGAGTCCCAGATGAATTTGGTGCTGGGCCTACCAAAGGTGGCATGTGGGCAGGCAGCTGCCTCTCACAGCAGCTGGGATCCCCAGCACCAAAGAGAGAAGCTATTTTCTGAGCCTAGGAGAGAACACAGCCCAGCTCCAAGTTGAGGTTGGCTCCATTTTCTGGACCATCTGGGGCGAATGACTCAGCCTCTCTGGTTTCCCTACATGAAAAATGGAGACCATGTTGTCATAAGGTCTCATGAAGTAACAGACACAGCTTGGACAGGCCCTCAGCCACAGGACCCAGAGAAATGAATGAAGCGAGAAACAGAATCAGGCCATCTTTGGTGTCATAGGAAGAGCACTGGTTTGAGCGAGAAGACTGGCTTCTCCCTGATTTTCTGGTGGCGTCATTTCCCCATCTGTATAAGGAGGGCTGGACGGGTAGTGGCTGACCTTGATTTCTCAGATCTCCTGCTCAGAGATACGCCACGTCTGTAATCTTTCAAGTGTGGAGGGAATCATGATGAAGGTTTAAGGGAGAACCAAAGCCTATTTCAAAAGGGTGACAAACAGAAGGGCAGGGCCCACAACATTGAGAATGGAATAAAGCAGCAGTGCGTCTTGGCATGTCTGCTCTCCTAGGGCTGGTTCATGGCACAGAAACCGAGCCTGAGAGAATGCACGGGTGCAATCGAAGCAGTTCTTAACCAGGATCATCAGGATTACTCAGGATGCCTTTTAAACTACAGATGCCCAGCACCCATCTCAGACCTGCTGAATCAGAATCCTAAGGGGCTAGAATCAGCACACTGCTCTTTTAATTAGCACTCCCAGGGCTCCTGGTGCAAATCCCAGTCCTACAGAATCACTGCGATTTCTGCATTTGTAAGTCAGTGCAGCAAATGGGCTATCTGGGAACCTCAGAGGAAGGGAACAGTAGGAATGCACAGGGTTATTAGTCTGCTTGCTTATTTATTTTACTGTTGTCACAGATAATTATTAATAACAATGCCCAGCATTTTATAGTCCTTGAATTTTTTGTTGTTGTTAATCCTCATCCAAGGATAGTTTTTCCACTGATTTTTTTTTTAGAGTGAGGGGCAGAGAAGGAGAGAGACACATCAATTGCTTGTCTCCTGCATGCCCACCAACTGGGCCAGGGATCAAACCTATAACCCAGGTACGTGCCCTTGACCGGGAATTGAACCCTTGACCCTTTGGTGTGAGGGCTGATGCTCTAACCACTGAACAACACTGGCTAGAGCAGCCCTTAGGTTTTTTTAAAAAAAGTTTTATTTCCTGACTTGTAAGTAACATTTGCTCATTATAGACAGTTTGTAAAACTATTTTGGTATGAAGAAGAAAATTAAACACTCATTATTGTACCAACTAGAGAGACTGTTTGCCTCTTTTTGCTGCTTAGATTTGGTGTTTTTCGTGTTGTTTTTTACTTTGTTTTCCTAAAACTTGGTCCAGTTTTGCACTCACAGTGGCCTCAGTGGTAAGGGAGGGAGGGGTTATTTTCCCAATGGAGAAAAAGATTTATGTAAAAAAAATTTAAAGGCCCCCCAAGCCCTGGCCGGTTTGGCTCAGCGGTTAGAGTGTCGGCCTGCGGTCCAGAGAGACCCAGGTTCGGTTCCCGCTAAGGGCATGTACCTCAGTTGCAGTTTGTCCCCGGCCCTGGTTGGGTTGTGCGGGAGGCAGCCACTCCATGTGTCCCTTTCGCGTCGATGTTTCTCTATCTCTCCCCCTTCCTCTCTCTACCTCCCACTCTATCTGAACAAAAAAATGGAAAAATATCCTCAGGTGAGGATAAAAATAAATAAATAAATAACTTAATTAATTAAAAATAATAATAAAAGGCCCCCCCAAGCCCAGCAAGCTTGGCCGACATGTCATTATGAAGGAACTCTTGCTCACTGGCTATAAGAAAGGACAAGGTGGTGGCTGTGTGGATGCTTGGAGAAATGTGTCCAAATTAAGAGGTCAGAGGCAATCCACACAGGGCAGACCTGTTTACCTGCCTGTCTGCTTTCACCACAGAACTGACTGCCACCGAGACACTGACCCATGTCTGCTCCGGCAAATTAGCATTTTTCATCTGACTCTCCTCCTCTGACAGTAACCACAGGTCACTGGGCCAGCAAGTGATGGACATACCTGACACATCCCAAGACCCAGAAAGCCCATCATGGGGCTTTGGTGCTTGCTCCGGAGAGCAGCTGGCATCTCTTCTTGCCTTTCCCATCAATTGACCTACTTACACCAGACAACTTGGGTTATAACTTGGTGCCCAAGACTAAAAGTTCAAGAAATGTCACAAGAAATGGACACAGAGGTTGAGGTATTGGTGAGGAGGTGAGAGAAGCATTTTATAATTCATTAGATGTTTTAGGCCTTCATCTTTACAAAAACAAAAAAACAAAACACCAACCACTCATTACAGCGAGGTGAGAATGAGATAGGAATCTGACAGCACCAAAGAGAGTTTAATGTTTAGTAAAATAATCAAAATAGCTCCTATTGACTATCTACTGCTGCCAGCCACTTTGCAGATACTCTAATCCTGAAACCTGTGAGCTGGGGCAGGATCTGGAGACAGGTGATCCTGGCTCTGCACCTTCTGGCTTGGGCAAGCCAGTGAGCCTTCCTGTGCCTCAGTCTCCCAAACTAAACACGAGGATCACAACAGTGTCACTCCCACAGGGCACTGCAAAGACTGAAGAGATAACTCAAATGAAGTGCTTCAAGTGATGTCTGGCCCCGAGGAAGTGGTCAGAGAATGTTAGCTAGTATTATTCACATGTGAGGAGTACGATGGAGTGATGGAATGAGTCTGTGAGTGTGTGAGTGTGAGTGTGTGTGTGTGTGTGTGCACGCGCGCACTGAAGTGGCTTCCCCAACCAGCTAGAAAGTATCAGAGCTAGGAGGACCCCAGGGCTGCCAGGACCCACGAGCTTCCGCCTACTCCAGAGGGCCCTCCTGCTCAGAGCAGACAGGGGGCAAGACGCAGAGGGAGGTGCCTGGCTCCCTCCTCCCTAGTCCCCGGCCGCTCCTGGTACCTGTCAGCTTCTCCGCGATGGGCCTGAACTCCTCGGGGCTGATGTACATATCCTGGTCAGTGTCCAAGGAGGAGAAGAGAAAGAGGCCTTCTGTTCCCAGGGCCTTCACCGCTGACTCCTGCTGGGAGAAGGGGAGGTGCTGGATGAACACAGATGGATACCGTCTTCCTGAGTTCTTTCAACACCTCTGTCTAAATGCCACCGCCCCCGGCCCCCAGTGCCTCGTCCACTGTCTGTCCCATCTTTCCCTTCTACCCCGACTCATCCCCATTTCACCCCATTCATAGACCCACGGTCCTCTCGTCTCCCCTCCCGGCTGTCCCAGTGCTCCCAGCCCCGCTCCAGATTCTCTCGGTCCGGCCTCACTCCACGCCTGGTCTGCGGTCCGGTCCTGTGCGCGGCCCTGCAGTCTGTCTCTGCCCTGCATCCTCCCCATCAGTCCTTGCAAGGCTGCCAGACCCCCGGTGCCCTCTTCCCCTCACTTCCATGCTGCCCTCCCCAGCCCAGCGGTCCCCTCCGCCCAGCCCCCCAGGCCGCTCTTCCCTCCCAGCCCCTGCCCCCGCTCATCCCTCCCTAACCCCGCGCTCTGTTCCCTCTCCGCGGACGCACGGGCCTGCCCTTCCCGGCCCGGCCCGCCGCCTCCCCACCCGGGGACTCGGACCCTCTGCGAGTCCCGCCGCCCTCGCGCCCCCGCGCCGAGTCTCCGTGCCCCGCGCCCACCGCCGCCCGCCGGACCTGCCGCGCGGCCGCCTGGGCCTCGGTGAGGCGGGCATAGGCCCGGGCAGTGACGGCCGCGGCGGCGGCGATGAGCACGGCCCCGAGCAACGCCAGGGTGCGAGTGTAGAGCGGCGGGGGCGCGGTCGGCGCGGCGGGGCCGGGGCTGGGGGGCCCGCGCTCGCCCGGCCGGGACCGGCCCATGGCGACGTCCCGGAGGCGGCTCGCGGCGGCTCGCGGCGGTTAGGAAGCTGAGGAGCAGGGGGCGTTTGGGGGCGGGGCGTCTCCGGGGGCGGGGCGTCGGGCGGGGCGGGGCGGGGCGAGCGGCCTCCAGGCTCTGAGGCCGGGACCCCAGCAGCCCTGGGTGGTGGCCGCCCGCCTCCTCCAGTGCCTGGCGCAGTGCCTGGGCGCACAGTGGCGTCAGGAGGTTCTCAGCGGGTCAGTAAAGGGATGCCAGAACTCCTTGCCGCCCCTGCCGTCCTCAGGCCCGTCCTTCCTGGCATCTCCGTGCCTCCCTCCTGCACATCAAGTTCCCAAACCCAAAGCAGGCCGTGTGCCATCCTGCTCGCGGAGGGGGGAACAATTCCAGGCCGAGGGCCGGGAGAAGGAAGGGGCTGGGGTGGAGAGGGGAAGATCCGTACATCCCGGAGCTTCCTGGGGGGGTCCTGGGCCACCAGGCCTCGGGTCCACCTCCACTGAACCCGCCCGTCCAACAGCAGCAGATGGGCACTCCACTGTGCACTCTCATCCCACTCGCTTCCAAAATGTCTTCAGTCAGGCCCAGTGGTGTGGCTCAGTGGTTGAGCGTGGACCCATGCACCAAGAGGTTGAGGTTCGATTTTTGATGTTCGGTCAGGGCACATGCCCAGGTTGTGGGCCCGGTCCCCAGTGGGGGGCATGCACGAGGCTGCCAATCCATGTTCGCTCTCATTGATGCTTTTATCTCTCCCTCTCCCTTCTTCTCTCTCTAAAAATCAATAAAGAAAAATAAAAAAATTTTAAATGTCTTCAGTCAGCTAGAAAAAGAAAAATTGCAACGTTTAACACCTATTCCTTCATGGTCCAGCTGGAAGGTCTGCAGATTTATCGAGGACAAAGAACTACCTGCTCATGGCACACGACGGTAGGTTGTGCAGGCCTGAAAACCTCGTCTATCAGGACCAAGCTTTCCTCACCTGCAAGGAGGAATCAAGAAGCCCTTCTGTGGGTTGTGGTGAGGAGGGCAACCTTACCTGGTGGGGCTGGGCTGTGAGTCACTGGCTGCCCTCTGCTCTGCTGGGCCTGGCATGGCCACAGGTGTGATTTTTTTCAGGAGAACATTTGGCATGCTTGGAGAAGAACCTTGGGGATGGAGGTGGGTGGAGTTGAGGAAATATTTTCCTGTCTGTCAAGTCCCCAGGACCCTTGATTCCACTGGAGCTCTCTTCCCTTGTATCAAGGTCCCCAGGAGCCCAGTTTGCACTTTTCCAGGAGAGGGCAGCATCTACTGAAGCCTCTGAACCAGAACACTGAGCCCAGGGGAGCAGCAGTGCCGTCCTTGGAGATCACTGCCAACCCCAGTGCTGTGCACCTGTCAGGTTTGGGATGTCAGTGGGATTTAACAGGTACTAAGCACCCACTGTGCCCTGGACTTGGTGTTGGGTGCTTTACGTGATCTGATTTAGCTCCTGAGCCACCCAATGAGGTAAGGATTATTTGCCTTTTTTTTAAGTTAAGGAGATAGCCCTGGTCAATGTGGCTCACGTGGTTGGGCACCATCCCATGTACAGAAAATTTGCTGGTTTAATTCCTGGTCAGGGCACATGCCCGGGTTTGGGGCTTGATCCCTGTTAGCGGGCATGCAGGAGGCAACCAATTGATGTTACTCTCTCACATCAATGTTCCTCTTTTCTCCCTTCCTCTCTCTCTAAAAACAATAAAGTATTCTTATTTTAAAAATTAAATTAAATGAAGGAGCCCGAGTTCTGGCACCTAGGTTTATCTGAGTCCAAATCTCTTGGCTTGCTCATCTCCCAGGGGATGACCCAGCTGACTTCGTGGGGGCAGGGGCTTGCCTCTACCACCACTCTGTCCTTCATGGGCAACCAGCCATGACAGCACCATGCAGGCAGGCCCTGTCTTCCCAGCTCCCACACAGGACCTGGCACATGGTGGGCACTCGATTGCCTTTTTGTTGTTGTTGTACACGCCCCTAATGGGAACCAAACCCGGGACTCTGGTCTACAGGCCGGCACTCAACGGCTGAGCCAAACTGGCCAGGGCCGATTGTCTTTTGGATGAATGACTCCCAGGGGCCAGGAGTTGTGGGTCCTGGATCCAGCCCTTGCCCAGCACTCTGGCCCCACATCATCAGTGGCACCCACTGAGGACCTGACATCTGGTGTTGGCTTCCAAAGACTTCCAGTTGTGCCACTTCCAACTCATCACCATTAATGTTTGGGGATATCCAACACAGGGCAGATGCCATTAGAAAAGTAGATTCCTCCTGTGTCTCAGTGGTTGAGCGTCAACCCTGCACCAAGAGGTCACCGGTTCAATTCCCGGTCAGGGCACATGCTCAGGTTGTGGGCCTGATCCCCAGTGGGGGGCATGATGTTTCTATCTCTCTCTCCCTCTCCCTTCCTCTCTCTCTCTCTAAAGTCAATAAAGGAAAAAAAATTAAAAAGAAAAAAGGAAAAGCAGATTCTGTTCTATCAGGAAGCAAAGCTAACGGAGCACAAAGCAGGTTAGGAGGGGAAGATTGATGAGCCAAGGCCCCTGGAAAATAAATGAGGGAAGTTTTCTTTACCAGATTACTTTTATTACACTAGTTTTTTGTTAAAGATACAGACACTCCACCAGTCTCTGGGCCCAGGGCTGGAGAGATGTGCTGCTGGGATTGGGAAGGGTGTATCTCTCCCAGCTAAGCAAGGTGTGGTAGAGGGGTGGGTTTACAAACCGACTCAGGTCAGCAAGCCTCTGGGAAAAGGATCAACCTTGGGACTCAGTTCTGGGCTACTGTAGAGCTGCCCGGAGGCCAAGAACAGCTGTTTTACCTGAGCAGGTGCCTCTGTTTCCTCCTCTATAAATCTTTGCCTACAGGATTCATCAGGACTCCAGACTCCGTGAAGAGGAAATATGGATTGGACCCCAAACATCCCCCAAAGCAGAAACACCTCTCTGCCAGATTTCTGGGCAAGTTCTCAGCATCTTCTTTCAATCCTCCACTCCGGCCTGAGCATCCCCCAAGGCCAGGCCGGCCCCTAGAAGCCCTTGGACAGTCAACAAATCTTCCTCCCAATTTTATAGATTCAGGGCTAATGGCAAGATGCTTGCTCAATACAAAAGGCATAAAATGTTCAGATTTATTGCTTTGAGAGTTTGGTCTGTCTCCTGGGCCTGGTTGACGCAGTTTCCTCCAAGCTTCAGAGCATTTTATTAAAAAAAAAAAAAGAAGAAAATTTTGACAGCAGTGTTCTACCTCACATTTACTCAAGGCTTTATGATTTACAAAGAACATTCACAATACAACAATCATCACTATATGTGTTGAGTTTCCACACTGGAGAGCTCAATTAACCCTTGAAATCACCCTCCCTTTCCACAGACGGGGAAGCAGAGGCTCAGAGAGGTTAAGGGCCTTGCCCAAGCTCACACAGCCCAGGAAGAGGGCACAGTGGAGCTGAACCCAGGTCCACTTGGTTCCAACCTGCACTTGTCCTCTTCTGGCCTGCTGCTCTGCCTTTCTCATCTTCAACCTGACCTAATGCACAGCAATCTGCAGATAAACAGTGAGTGAGAAAAATAAAAAATATATATATAAAAGCCAGAGGCTTTTGTAGAAAACAATCAGAAGCTGGGGTGAGTATAAAAATAACCAGGTGTGTTCAAGGGAATCCTTGAGTCTCCATACAATATGTGCTGTGCTAGGATTCTTTTTGTAATGATGCAGTTGGCGGAGGGTCAGGGAGTCAGTGAACAGAGGACAGGCTTTCTGAGTTCTAAGAAACTCCTGGCTATTTATATTTAATTCAAAGGAAACAAAATTAAATATTTCATTCCTCAGTTGCACTTGCCACATTTTAAGGGCTCGATATCCACATGTGGCTATTCTATTGGACGGCACAGATATGGAACATTTCCATCATCTCAGAAAGTTCTACTGGTCAGCATGGTTCCGAGCCACCAGCAAGCCTGCTCCTTTCTTTCTTTCTTTTTTTTTTTTTAAATCCTCACCCGAGGACATTTTTTCATTTTTTGTACACACAGAGTGGGAGGGAGAGAGAGGAAGAGAGAGAGAGAGAAACATCGATGTGAAAGGCTGTTCACGAGTGGCTGCCACCCGCACGACCAACCAGGGCCGGGGACAAACTGCAACCAAGGTACATGCCCTTAGCGGGAACCGAACCCGGGTCTCTCCGGACCGCAGGCGGACGCTCTAACCGCTGAGCCAAACCGGCCAGGGCAAGCCTGCTCCTTTCTTATCCAGACTGCCCTGGAGGAGGGGGAGCTGCTGGAGCAGGTAACAGACACGCCTGTTTCGCTTCCTCTGCAGCCAAGGTACCTATGGATGTCATCCCAATACCTAAGTCCCTCTACTCTACTATGGAGAGGCTACAACTCCAGGGATGCAAATATGAGGCAGAACCAAAGGAGTGGCCAGTAACTGAGGCCTTGCTACTCAAAATGTGGTCCTAGGGCCCACAGCATCAGTGTCTCCTGGGAAGTTGTTAGAAATGCAGGCTCTTGGGCTCCACACCAGACCCACTGAATATGAACCTGCATTTTAACGAGATCCCCAGGTGTTCAGGTGCACATTCAAGTTTGAGAAGCTCTGATTTAAGAGACAGGCTGAGTGGGATCAAAATATTGTCCCAAATATAGGAAACCAAAAAGATATTTTTAGATACAAAATAAAAAGCATTGGTACCTCTCTTCTCCCAGCAGTGTGTGATTAAGCAAGCATTAGTCATTGAGGGCTGAGCATCTCAGCACCACATCATCAATAAGCATATTTTCAAGGACAGACCCTGGGGCAAGGAGCTAGGGGGAGCTGGTCCATTTCCCATCTCCAGCACCTTCTCAAACCATGAAGGGTCACCTCCCCAAAGCAAAGGGGACAGAACTGAGAATCACATTTGAGATCTCAGAAATGCTGCCTTTAAGTCAAATTTTCTATTTCTGCTTTTCTTACCAATGCATTTGGCTTTTGAACTTTTTAACTTACTAAAGACACAGCGCACAAAGCCAGTCCAACCAAACACACAGTCGTTTAAAAGGAGGCATCTGGAAAAGGACTGTGTCCCCCTCTTCCCAGGGGTGTGAGGCTCTGTAGGCCTCATTGCATGGAGCCAGGTGCTAGCGAAGCTTTCTGGGAAGGAATCAGCACCAAGCTCTTCTGTGAAGAAAACAGGTGCAAAAGGTGGTTCCATCCACAGCAAGGGCAAAAAGGAGGCTTCAATGAGCCCAGCGTCATGCCGACCCCGCCTCGGAAGAAGGGGTCTGCTCAGGGCCTGGTTCCAAAGCTTGGATCCTGCTTCAGTGAGAATGACTCATCCTTTAATTCCTCAAGTCTTACTTATTTTTATCCCTGGAATGGAGTTAAATTGCCTAAAGGATGATGTGTCTTCACCTGCAAGGGCCCTCCTGGAGAATAAATTTTAAAAATATTCATTCTTTACAACTTGCTCCCAGTGAGAGTGCAGAAGACAAGATGCTGGGGGAGGAGAGGAGGACAGTGACAGGGGCCCAGTGGGGGAGCCTGGGGCCTTGGAGAACTTCAAAGTGACTGCGGTAGGGAGATATTCCAGGAGCTGACTCTAGGGAGTTGGGACAAGAGGGAAAGAAAGAGGAATGGTCAACTATGCTCTCATAACTCTCTTTATAATACTGAGGAACGCCAAAGCAAACCCTGCGAGCAGTCCTGCTGGTTTTGCCTAGCCAGCAGGCAGGTCTCTTATTTTGGTAGCAAACCTCATTTTCTCCCTCCAGTCAAGATTCCCCACCCTCCCTTGGCTGGGGGAAAAGTAGGATCTGGAAACACTTGAATTCACCTGTCCTGGTGGTGGTGCCTAGCGAGGCTGCCCCCTGGTTCTTGTAGCCTGGATCCCTGGCCAAATCCTCTTCCTAGTCCTTCTTGGGTCTTGAGGGCTGTTCACTCTCTTGGGATTTCATGAGCCACCTCAAGGCATTTCAATTTCTTCTTCTCCTCCTCCCCCTTCCCCTTCCCTCCCCACTCCTTCTCCTCTCTGTTTCTTCTTCTCCTTCTTCTTGCCTAAGTCAGACAGAGTTGCTTTCTGTTTGTAGCTAAGAACCCAAACTGACACAAACCCGAGTGCCCAGCAATAGAGGCTCAGACTCAAAGCTCGTGAGGGAAGGGGCAGGAGACCTCACCTCCCTGGGTCATCTTTCCCATCAGGTAGCGGGAAGACCCTCCACTCACAAGGTGGCAGTCAGAGTAAGAGAGGTACTCTGGTGCCCTGGCTGTGGGAAGTGCTTCTTCCTTCTTCTGAACAACAGGAGCTCAGATGCTACGCAACCAGGTACAGCAGGGAGACTGAGGGAATTTGTTGACATGGATAGATATTTATAATACATAGTTTAGCACAGGGCAGATTATAATAAAACAGGATGCATAGTATGATACCATATTTGCAAAAAATATATCCTGTATATTCATAGAAAACGATCTAGAAAAAAATATAACAGACCTGGCCGGTTTGGCTCAGCGGTTAGAGCGTCCGCCTGCGGTCCGGAGAGGCCCGGGTTCGGTTCCCGCTAAGGGCACGTACCTCGGTTGCAGTTTGTCCCCCGCCCTGGTTGGTCGTGCGGGTGGCAGCCACTTGATGTGTCCCTTTCACATTGATGTTTCCCTCTCTCTCTCTTCCTCTCTCTCCCTCCCACTCTGTCTGTACAAAAAATGGAAAAATGTCCTCGGATGAGGATTAAAAAAAAAAAATATATATATATATATATATATAAATAACAGTATTCATCCTGGAGGGTCAGACAGTGAGTGACTTTTCTTTACGCTTATCTTTATTTCCTAAGCTTTCTACAATGTTTGTGTAAAGTTCTTTTGTTTTTCTTTCTTTTTAAAAGAATTCTCACCCGAGGATATTTTTCCATTTATCTTCAGATAGAGTGGGAGGGAGGGAGAGGGAGAGAGAGAAACATCCATGTGAGAGACACATCGACTGGTTGCCTCCCACACGACCCCGACCAGGGCCAGGGACCAAACCGTGGTACGTGCCCTTCACTGGAATTAAACCTGCAACTTTTTGGTGGGCGGGCTGATGCTCTAACCACTGAGCGAAACCGGCCAGGGCTGTTTTTCTTTCTTTTTTAATGGGCACAGTGGCCAGAGCCATACTTTCAGGAGTGAAGTGAGTTGCTGGATTCAGGCAGTGACTTATTCACCAAATGCCAGGGCTCTTGCCACAGGGACAGTTCACCTGTAGCTCTGACTACTGCTCAAGAAACATGCTGGAAGCATCTGAGCTCCTGTTGTTCAGAAGAAGGAAGAAGCACTTCCCACAGCCAGGGCACCAGAGTACCCCCTTACTCTGACTGCCACCTTGTGAGTGGAGGTCTTCCCGCTACCTGATGGGAAAGATGACCCAGGGAGGTGAGGTCTCCTGCCCCTGGGCCCCAATCCCCAGGGCCTACTCAGGTGTATAACAGAGCCAAAAAGTGGCTGAGCACAGGGAAGCCCAGCGGCAGAGGGGGAGAGGCCAGGGGAGGAAAAGCACTCACCTCACTGTTGGTACCTGAATTCCTAGCCTCAGGGAAGCAGGGGATGGTCATGGGGGAAAGTGGATTTGTGGGGTGCTCATCCCACTCTTCCTTATCTTCTAGTTCTTAGCTTGAAGGTTATCTGGTCAGAGAGGCTCTCCTTGACCCCTAAGATAGGTCCCAGCCATCAGTACTTCAGCCCCTTTGTTTCCTTTGTAGCATTTCATGTAACTTGCGGTCGTGTTACTTACCTGTTGGTTTACTTTACTGTCTCTCCCTCCTTGACTTGTAGGCTTCCTGAGGACAGGACTTATGACTGTCTCTCTCACAGTGTCTCTGTCATCCAGTGTCTGATCCTCTGCAGGCACTCACTGAGTATCTGCTGCTGATGGAGCAGATGAACACAGCACTGGGTGGTCAGCAAATCTCACCTGGGCTCACCTCTGCCTTTATGGGCTGTGTGACCTCAGGCAAGTTGCTGCCTCTCTCTGGGCCTCTTCCAAGCCTTGACCTAGATATAAATATCCAACTCTTTTAAAAGTATTGGCCTCACCCTTCCTGAATATATTAGGTCCTATTTAAGGGAAGGTAATAGAAGTTGGAGTCATTCACTGGTTGATTATTCTGATAACACTGCAGTGGTTTTTCCAGGAGTCACTGATATGCAATGAACCCAATCATATTTCTTATTCAATAAACTCTTTTATTGTAAGTTTATAGATTTGTCCATGACAATAATGAAAATAGCACTAGTGATTCGTAACACTTAGGCCAAAATCAAAGGGGAACCCTCCTCAAATTCTAAGTAAATGACACATAGTTGAACATATAGTCAATGTTGGGCAATGGCATTTAAAATATAGAAAATAAGATCAAGGTTTTTGTACAAACACTTTAAGGTTTAGTTGATCAGAGTGACTGTTTTTGAAAGCACATGATTTTGAAAACGACTTATAATCTGTGATAAAACACAACTGTTGAGAAAAGGCAAAATCAAGCAAAAACAAAAGTACCCCAAAAAGGAAAGAAAATGAACCAAATACATGGGGTCGATGTGCAAACCTCCAGTCCTTTGGCCCTGGAATGGCAACTGGGTGGGTTTCATAGAAATTCTTCGTAGAAAGGAATGTGGGCCTGGGATGACATCACTGTGTCCCCAAGTCTGTCTCCTCACAGAGGAAAAGAAGTTGCTTGTCAGCATATCTGCCTGGAATGGGCCTGTGTCCCCAGGCCTTTTGAGAACAGTCCCGAAACCTAAAAAGCAAGGCGTCGCTGCGGCGGCCTGGGGAGCAGCAGGGAGATGGCGTCAGAGTTGGTCCCCGACCCTGCTGGCGCTGTCCGAGTGGTTCACGGGGAGTGGGTGGGCCTCCGTGTTGAACACCCAGTCTTCCAGGGAGAGCGTGTCATCTTCAGAGAACAGAAGATAGAGATACCTGTGCCCCCAGGCAGGGAGGGAAGCAAGACACCGCAGGTCAGTGCTCTGGGAATAGGGCCCCCCCTGGGAAAGAATCTCTGGGCCTCTGCCACAGGCCTGTGGCTGTGGGTACAGGGTGGTCCAAGACCCCAAATTCCTTTGGAGGGTTGGACCCAGGGAAGAGGCTGTGGATGCCAAGAAGAGACAGATTTGGGGCAGACAGACCTAGTTTAATCCTGCCTCTGCCCTCAGTCCTCACACCAACAGCTTCAGTCAGTATTTTCCCCACCTGGCCGCGTGTGTGAGTCCTGCCAGGACACCGTACGGCCTGGATTCTCCTTTCTGTGCAGGGCGGCCTGAGTACTGCACCAGTCCAAATTCCTGGGCTGCTCCCTACATGCCCCCCAGCAGATTCTAGAGTAGATGTCAGGGCATTACAATGAACAGGACGTGCTGACTCCAGAACCCAGCTTTCTTTCTTTTTTTCTTCTTCTAATTGATTTTAGAGAGAGGAAGGGAGAGGAAGAGACAGAAACATCGATGAGAGAGAACGTCGATTGGTCGCCTCCTGCATGCCCCCCACTGGGGATCGGGCCCACAACCTGGGCATGTGTCCTGACTGGGAATCGAACTGGTGACCTCTTGGTGCTGGGTCGACACTCAACCACTGAGCCACACTGGCCGGGCAGAACCCAGCTTTCCAAGCCATGCGGGTTTTGCTAGAAGAAATGGACCATCCCAGTTCATCCTAAAGGGTTAAAGCTCAAGGGCATTGCTCTGGGGACCAGCAAGGAAGCGAGGGAACCGTGCGGCAACACTGTGGAGGGGAAGTCGCCGCAGCATCGACACCATCATCATTATTTTACAGAAGAAGGCATAGTTTTATAGAACTTCAGTAACCTGAGGAGACAGGTTACAGAACTGAACTTATCACACAGCTAACACTTCGGGAGATAGAGTCCAACCTAGTCTTGCTCCCTGGGTAGAGAAATGGGCCTGGCCCAAGGCTCACCCCTGGGGGTGTCACACTCTGGGTCCCAAGCCTCCCACCCCACCGCCCCTCTTGGGCCCCGTTCCTGTGACTGCAGACCCCTCCCCCATCCCTAAGAAAAGCCACATGGCCCACTGGAAAGAATGCTGACCGAGCCCAGACTCACTTCAGTGTCTCCGCCAGAAAGAAGGTCTGCTGTTTGTTGTCGTGGTTGGGAATGCTGCTGTACACGTCCTGGATTCCCGAGAAACCGGCTTCAGTCCGACAGTGTTTCTCCAAGGCCTGAAGAAAAGGAAGGCAGCCTTGGTGTGGGGAGAGGAGAGGCTCCCCGAGACTCACGCCTGTGCAGCAGGCAGAGTTTGCCAATGGGCAGGCCCCGGGCATTTGTGGAAGCAGAAGGCTGAATTATTTTCACGGGTCAGGCTGGAGGGGCCTGTTGCCAAGAGCTTAGTCCCAATGGGCTGTGCCTGGAGCTCTCCCCCTGGTGGAGCTTGGAGGAATCTTTCCTCTGCCTTCCAGGGACTAGACTGCTGTCAGACTTGCCCACAGGGTGACAAAGAAGGCACTGGGATCTGGGACTGTCATCCGCCGGAGTTCCCTGTGGAGCTGTGGTCCCTGGGCTTGAGGTGGGTGGGTCACGGGCTGTCTTTGTCTAGAAATGCATTTTTTACCCACTGAGGGTTTGTAGATGGGGCCCAGGAACATAGAACACTTGGCCTTCAGTGGCCAAGAACCAGGCCTCAGGGAAGCATGAGACTCCGGCCCGTGAACCTGAGCAGCCCCTGTGCTCCCCCTGAGTGTGACACTCTGGGTGTGGCTCTCCCTAGGACAGTACGTTTCTCTGAGAGCAGTGGGTTGGGGACAGTGTGGGGGAAGGACAGAGAAGGCTCAGCTTCCATCAAGGAACCTTTGGGAGTACCCACACCTGCCTTTGACACCTACCCCAAAGTGGGCGTGAGATTTCCCACTAGGGACAGGGGGCCACAAGAGGAGACTGATGGGGTGGGTGGTGGGTGGAGCAGAGCCCACAGAAGGATGGGGGTTGCATGGGGTTGGGCTGGCTTTGGGGAGAGAAGGCAGGTGAGTGCTGGCCTGGCGGCCAATCCTGATTGACAGGAGAAATCTAAAGCATTGGTCCAGGCTTCGGGGTCAGAAAGCAGTGACCACGTGTGCTCTGGACCCCCTTTGGCTGCTGCCCTGCCTTTGCCCCTCCAAATTTGCTGGCACCAGGGCCAGGCCCCCAAGGCTACAGGCCTCAGAACCTTCTTCTCAAGTTCCTGACTTGATTCTGCCCATCTGGGGACTCCTCCTGGGTCTGCAACCACAACCTTGACCCTCTGATTCCTGAACTTATGCCAGATGCCAACCTGGCTTGACCTTCTTCTTAGTGCCTGAGCCAGGGGGTTTTGGAACCTGACTGTGACTTCTCGGGGGCACCTGCCACAGGGTGAAGCCCCCCCCCCCAGCCGGGCCCACTCACCATCACCACTTCCCAGCCCCACTCCCTGTAGACGGGGTTGTGCGTCTGCCGCCACAGGTACATATAGCTCTCCACCACCTCGGGCCGCAGGATGTAGTAGCTCTCGCTCAGCTGCGTGGCCACCGCCTCTCTGCCAGAGTTAAACCAGAAGGCCTCGGGCCCCAGCTTGGTGTCTGTGGAATGACCAACCAGAGGGCCTAGGTCAGACCACCCACCTGCTTTTCAGGATCCAGCTGCCCCAGGATAGATCTGGGGGTGATGGTTGGGGATTGCCTGATAAGGCTGAACTTCCACAGCTTCCCTCTTGGCCCAGGCTGGCCAAAGCAAGAACCCTGAGGCCTCAAACATTTTGCAGTTTTAGAATTTGAGAATCCAAATGAACCACCCAGCAGCTGGGGAGACGAAGGTTGGGGTGGTGTCCCTAACTGTGAAGTTTGAGATGTTAGCTCTGCCAGATGTTAAGCAGAGCTCAGCCAAGACGGGCTCCAGGTTTAAACACATCTGGAGAATAGTGGGTTAAACAAGGTCAGACAGTCTCACTCATGCAGGGCTTATTCGATCTCTTATATGCTGACCTGCAGTTCCCAGACCTTAGGAAGCGGCCTGTGTCTCCTCTGAGCCAGCCTTGCAGAGGGGACAGTCTGGGAGGCTGCTGACCTGGATGTGAGGAGAAGACCGGGCTGGACACACCCTCAGGCAGAGGGAGCCAAGTAAAGAAGGCTGGTGAGGTCTGGGTTTTGCCGCTGTCATTGTTTTGTTTGTTTTTGGACAAGTGACTGCCATTTCTGGTTTTTGGATGACCACAGTTATACAACCACTGCCGCAGCCACCATTTGTGATTTCGGAGGCTGTGCTGCTGCTTTACATACATTAGTCAATCCTGAAAGAAGGTGTAAGGGAGACGTCATCACCCCTCTGTCACGCATGCAGAAACTGAGGATCAGAGAGGTTAATACTTGTCCGAGGGAACACACCGCGAGCTGTGGCTGAGCTGGGCTGTCACTGTGGATCTGTCTGATGCCCTTTCCCTGGGCTGTGCCCTCTTCTCTCTGTCCCTTCTGAGTCAGACTCTCCAGGTCTAAAATGTAGGGTATGTGGTTTGGACCTTCCTCCCTTTAATGCCTGCATATCCTGTCCAGGCTGGCCGAGGGCCCGGTTCTGGTCCTATTGTGAGCCCTTCCTCCTCCCACTAGGGTTTAGGACCCGAGAGGCCGAGTGGCCCGGGCTTTGCAGGATGTCCTACTCTCTCATGGAGAGCTTACTGGAAGAGGAAGTAGCCAGACCCAGGCCCTTCTGATCCTCACAAATGGTACAGTCCCTCCTGCCATCAGAAAGCAGTCGTCTTGCCAACTGCTAATGCGGTGAGCGCAAGAGCGACTGTTCCGCCATCGTGGGAGCCGGGCTGGCTGAACAACATGCTCTGTTCAGCGGACTGTCTTTTCAGGTCTGGGATGATTGTCCCAGACAAATAGAAAGCTTTTTATTACTCCAGAGATTTCCTATTTGTTTATGGTCCTGGTAGAGCTCTTTGAAGGGAATTTAAGACCAGTTTTAGGCATTCACTGTGAATTGCTGGCTTTCTGAACAGCTCAGGAGACCAGGATCTCAGCGGCAGAGGTCACAGACATAGTTTGGTGGACCACAAATAAATGCCTCCCATGCTGTTGGCTGAAGGTGGCTGGCAATGTGCTCTGTGGGATCCTCTGCCTGACCCTGGACACCTGTGTTATTATTCCCGTTGAACTGATGAGAAAACCGAGGCCACCTAACTGGTGAGTGGTGGAGTGGCACTTGAGCCAGGAATTTCTACTGCACATCTTGGGTCCTCTCCTCCAATCAAGACAGATTAAACTCAGAGCAGTGGGCACCTCCTGGGCCCTGGGGGACTGGGGATTGTTCTGAGGGCCACTGTTCAGAGGCAGCACACAAGCTGGAGCTGAGCACCAGGAGACTTGGGTTCTAGCCCCGGCTTAGCTACTCACAGCGGAGTGACTTTGGCTCTGGACCGACTCAGTTCCCCATGTGTAAAATGAGGAGTCGGGTTCATGTTCTCCAACATGACTTCTGACTCTAGCATTTGACGATTATGCGTGAGTGCTCAGCGGATGGTCAAGAAGCTCTCGAGTTTGGATCAAGGAGGGTGATGAACGGTGCCAGGAGGTGCCAAGACCCACCGAATGGAGGGATTCTGGGGAGGAAAAGCAGAGGTATGTTCGAGGGTAGGGGGTCAGGGAGAAGGGATTCACTAGGCTCAGGAAGCCAGTGTTTCTGCCTCAGGAGGACCCTCTGCTCTGTGCCCCACTCATGGGACCTTGGCCAAGTCATCTCTGAGCCTCAGTTTCCTCATCCGTGTTGTGAGGTTCAGTGATGATGTATGTCAAATGCTGAACACCTGGCACACACAAAGGACTTAATACATCACCCTCATTTTCTCTTTAATTTAGGGTATAATCTCAATGTGTAGACAGCTGGTCCCTCGTTCAAATTCTGAATAACTGCAGAAGGCAAGACCTCCCTCAGAACATGTGTTCCCTTCACTCCTGCCTCTCTGCTGGACCTCCCAGTTCTTCCTGGTGTCTAGCCTGTCTGTCCTGCTGGCCCGTCCCCTTGCAGGGTTACCTGAGCGGTCATACGACTCGTGGCACGTCTTAGTGATCTGGGCTGCAAGCTCTCGGTAGTGGGCCCTCTTGTCCTCCTCAGCATCCTCTGCGCCGAGGGCGATCATGCCCCCAGAGAAACAGGCCAGGTGCCCCATCTTGTGGTCCAGAATCCCCCCTCGCCACTCAGCAATGTAGGTCAGCCCCCCGGGAGACACATTCAGCAAATGGGTTTCTATTGCCTGGGAGCAAGGTGGGAGTTGGGCAGGGAGAAGGGGTGTGGGAGGGTAGAGAAGGGAGGGAGAGGACAGGAAATAAATATTTTGGAGACAGCAGCAAATGCAGCTCTACTGATCCCTCCATCCCAGGCAAAGGAGGCCCACTGGCCTCAGCTGGCAGCTGGCCCTGATGGGGCCTGTGGGAGGTGCTGGCCCTCACCCAGCTGAGGCCTCGTGCCTGCTGGGGGCTTAGATATAAGGTAGTTCCCAGGGTGAGCCTCTTACACAGATTTTTAAATCTATGTACACAAAATTTCAAAAAATCTTTAAGAATTATTATCCTCCATTATAGCCTTGGTTATGGAATCTTGACCTGAAGCCCCATTGGCCTGTGGGCTTCAGGGAGGCCCAAATGCCCTAAAATTGTACATGACACTTTTGTGTATGTGCATTTTCATGGGACAAAAGTCTATATATTTCATCAGATTCTCTCAAAAACAAACCCATGGAAAATGAAGAGGTGCTCTCTACAGGCCCCTACCACTCGCCCGCTCATTTAACGCCTGCAAGCCAGGCACCTGGGCTGCAGAGCTCTCTAAAAAGGGTGCAGTGGCTTGTCCCGGGTCACCCAGCCATACCAGGATCAGGACAAGGACGCTCCAGACGCTTCAGCGCCACCTCTTTCACTACCCAACGGCTGCTCTCATTTTTAAAAAATATGTTTTTATTGACTTTTTTTTTTTAGAGAGAGAGGAAGGGAGAGAGAGAGAAAAACATCAGAAACATCACTTGGCTGCTTCCCACATGCCTCCCACTGGGGATCAAGCCCGCAGCTGGGCATGTGCCCTGACCAGGAATCAAGCAGGTACCTCTCAGTCCCTGGGAGGATGCTCAATCCACTGAGCCACACCGGCCAGGCATGGCTGCTCATTATTTTGGTGGCAATAGGCATTGAGAAACCTCCCTGCTTCAGGGGAGGTGATGCTGTCGGTAAAGTTCACTGGGAAGTCGGGGGTAAGGGGTTGGGCCATCATGTCTCCCACTCCCTACTGGTTGTCCCGGTTGCCCTGGAGATGGTGGCAGCTGCCCACAGCTGTGAGACCAGACTCAATGAGCCCACCTGTGGGCCCTGGTCCAGGCAGGGTGTGTGGGCCCAGGCCTCTGTCTGCACTCTTGCCCCTCCAATCTGTTCTGCAAGGGGTCTCTGCATTCTGTAAATAACAAACCTGACCATGTCTTGTGCCTGCTTAACACCTGTGGTTTCCACACGCCTCCAGATGAAAGTCCAGTGGGGCCTCCGAGACTCCCTGATCTGGAGCCTGAGGTTTAACCTGATGTCACGGACATAGTTCTCAGGCACGGACTCTTTGGGTTCAAACCCATCTCCACCAGTTTCAAGCTGTGTGACTTTGGGCGGGTTCTATGTTCTCTCTGTGTATCAACTTCCTCGTGTATACAATGAGGATAAGAACACGAATCACTTCACAGGGTCATGAGGATTAAATGAGATGCGTCCATAGAGCTCAGCCCATTTCCCAGTACAGAGTCAATAAATGCTGGTGATTATGGTTCCTCTCCAGTCTGCCCCTGCCCCACCCCCCACCCCTGTCCCAGCCACACTGGTCTCTTCATTCATGCACCTTCACCTCCTGTGAATATTTTGTGAGCACCTCCTTGATGCCAGCACTGTGCCAGGTGCAAGGGATACAGCCCCTGAAGATGAGCCTGGCCCTGGCCGGTTGCTCAGTGGTTAGAGTGTCAGCCTGCAGACCGGAGAGTCCCGGCTTCGGTTCACGCTAAGGGCATGTACCTCGGTTGCAGTTTGTCCACCACCCCAGTTGGGGTCGTGTGGGTGGCAACCACTTGATGTGTCTCTCTCACATCGATGTTTCTCCCTCTCTCCTTCCCACTCTATCTGAAGATAAATGCAAAAATGTCTTTGAGTGAGGATAAAAAAAATAATAATAATAAAATGAAGATGGGCCTGGGCCCTTAGGGAGCTCACCTGTGAGCAGACTTCCCCCAAATATCAAATACACATGAACATCATGATGTGTGATCAGCATTTTGAATGAAACAAATTGAGGGGACAAGACAGAAAATGTTTAGGGTGGGGGTCCTACTTTGCAGTGAGGCCAGAGAAGGTCTCTGTCATGGTGACGCTCATGAAGTTGATGAGGGTTCCTGCCTCAGGGCTTTGCCCACTGCTCCTGTCCCCCTCTGCCAACTCCAGCTGGCTTTGGGCCTCCTCCAGGATGCTTCCTTGGAGAGCGGGCCTGTCTACACCACTGCTGCCCTGGTACTCTACTACTGTTATCTTTCTACACGGCGCTGTCCCCAGCTTGTGCCCACGTATCTGTGTATGTTTCTGTGGAACATGTCTCTCTCTCAGGACTCTGAGTGCCGTGTGACAGCAGAAGCCACCAGCAATCTCCAGCCAGGACCTGGCATACAGAAGCTGCTCTAACAAAATTTGTTACTTGAATGTTTTTTTCTTTTCCTTCTGCCATAAGGCCTGGGCTGGTGGGCTGGCTGCAAACCCTCATGAGCAGCACAGGGGGAGCTCTGACGAGGGCCAGGCGGGGCACGGCTCCCGTGGGCACCGGCTGCTGGGCCGGGCCCTGGCACCTGGGCAGAGCTCTGGATCACTGAGCATGCAGGTGCAGGGGAGGGGTGACAGGCCTCGTCCAGGGTGCAGAAACCTGGTTCAGTTACCCGTTTTCAACACTTGGGAGAGAAAGCAGACATGGGTTGGAAGGGATCCCAGAAAGTCTCGCACGGTAGCTGAAAATCTTCATCTTCAAGACTGTCTCCTATAGGTTATTTCTATTTGGGGTTCACCCCAAGCTAAGTAATTTTGGTAAGGAGGAAATGATAAAGCAGTCTCTCTTTGAGGAGAAAACTGAGATAGCTGATGCAAAGATAAAAAAAAGGCTTCAAAAACTCTCAGCAAAACACAAGACGGCACAGGCTGGCTATGGACTGGTAAAATGGCTTTAACCATGGCAAGAGACACGGCAAAGAGCTGACCAAGAGGCAGAGGCCTGTGCTTGACTCCAGCTCTGCATTTTGAGGGTTGGGTGACTTTGGGCAACTTATTTCACTTTTTTGAAGACTCTGTTTCTTTATCTGTAAAATGAGACTAATTTCTGGGCTGGCTGGGAGGCTATTCAGAGACTCGGGCCTCCTTCGCCTCCTGGATGGGACCCTACCCCATCTGCACCCTCCCAAGAGGGACTTTGGGTAGCCAGGCTCCTCTGGGATTTGGCAGCTGGTAAATGGAGGCAGAAGCACTGGACCTGGAGGCAAGTCAGCCCTGGCTTTGTGTTTGTGCCCTGGCTTTGACTCTTGTGATCTTGGGCCTTTCTTACTTTTTTGTTGTTAACCCTCACCTGAGAATATTTTCCCATTGATTTTTAGATAGAGTGGAAGGGAGGAAGAAACAGACAGAAACATCAATGTGGGAGAGACACATTGATTGACTGCCTCCCACACAACTCCAACCAGGGCTGGGGATTGAACCTGCAACCCAGGTACATGCCTTTGTCTGGGAATTGAACTCGCCAGGGTGATCTTGGGCCTTTCTGAGCCTCAGTTTCATCATCTGTCAAATGGCACTAAATAGGACAAGGCACTAAGGGTACCTGCCTGGAGGAGGCCAGAGTGACAGAGGTTCCCTGTCCTCCTTGCCCTTTCTCCATGCCCCTCTGGGGTTGCCCACCCTGCCAGACTTTGGTCTAATGTGCACAATGGAACTGCCCCTCCCCCCACCCCAGCAGCTTTCCAGGTTGTTGCTTGGGTCCCACCCCAGAGGTTCTGATGTAACCTTGTTGGGTGCAGACTGGCCATTGGGATTTAAAAATTTTTTTTTAATTTTTAGAAAGGGAGGAAGGGAGAAAGACAGAAACATAGATGTGAGAGATATATGTATTGAATATTGCCTCTCGAATATACCCTGACTGGGGATTGAACTCTCAATCTAGGTATGTGCCTTGACTGGGAATTGAATCTGAAACCGTCTGGCACATGGGAAGACACCCCAACCAACTAAGCCACATTGTCCAGGGCTGACCATCAGGATTTTTAATGTGTGACTTTTAAAATGCCAACAGGGCTGACAACCACCAGAACATTCTTTAAAGCCCCAAACTCGCCACAGGCCCAGCCCTGCTCAGGGCCAGAGACACTGCAGGCTTTCTACCGGGGGATCAAATGTGGAGCAAAGCAGTTGTCTCCTGCAATCAAGTGTTTCCATAAAGCTCCCAGTTTGCTTAAATAATTCAGGGCCACGGCTTCCCTCAAGCCTCAATTACAGTGTGCCCTGAGGGCAGGGAGCTAGGCTGCCCAGACTGCATGCGAACAGCGGGAAGAGGAAGGGCGCAGGCCTTGCCAGGCAGCACACCTGCCACCAGCTGAAGGCTAACCCGCCAATCCGACAGAGCCACCGGCTGCTGGCTGCAGGCTGAGCTCAGCTGCAGAAGCTTGGGGTGGATGGGCCGAGCCAGGCTGAGCTGGGCCTGGAGTCCCAGGAACCACTTCACGGCTGAGGCGTTGGTGCCTGGGAGCCAGGCAGAGAATACTCATTATAGAGGCCGTAGTTTAAAGAGTCCATAGCCCTGCAGGCCTGCTTCAGTGTGCTTCCTCTAAGCACTACCATTGCTGGCTAGATTCATGTGATCAGAGGGCAGTGAGTGCTCATTCATCCAGCCAACAAACTTTCCACACCATCCACCCACCCATCGATCCATCCATCATTCCATCCATCTATCCAGAGCCAGATGACCTTGCTCTAGCCTCAGCTCTGCCAGTTCTGTGCTGTGTGGCTTTGAGTAAGTGCTTCCCCCTCTCTGGGCCCTGGTTTTCATCCACATAAAGAGAAGGAACAGAACTGGATGCTCCCCTGATGGAGGCCCCTCCCAGCTTGGATGTAGTAATTGTCACCTCTGGGTCAGTAGGAAGATGGCTGAGGATCTTGCTTTGGCAGCCTCCTGTGGGGGCTCCCAGCCCACCCTCTGGCTGTGTTCTGGGCTGGGACTCAACTGAAGTAGAGATACTGTGGTTTCTGAATCAAACTGCCTGCTGCTTCCTGTGGGAACTCAGACAAATGACTTCATGAACTCCTTGAGCTTGAGTTTTGTTTTTTGTTTTCTTTTAATGGTTTAATTGATTTTTTAGAGAGAGGGAGAGAGAGATAGAAACATTGACGTGCGAGAGAAACATCGATCAGCTGCCTCCTGTATGCCCCCTACTGGGGAGCGAGCCTGCAACTGGGCATGTACCCTGACCCAGAATAGAACCAGGACCGTTCAGTCCATGGGACAACACTCAATCCACTGAGCCAAACTGGCCAGGCTGAGCTTGGGTTTTTTTTTATATCTGTGAAACAAGGATGCTAACATGGCCCTAATTTCAAGGTGTTTGAGGAGATTTATGTGCAAAGTGACTGACTGGGGAGGGAACTGTCTGTGGTTCTGGCCAGCTCACTAGGGAGAGGGGGGAGCAAGGCCCTGGCACTCAGGGGCCTGTGTGTGCGCCAGTGGCAAATGACCGCCCGCCCACCCGGGAAGAGGCAGGTGCCTGTCTTACCTTCAAGGCTTCGTAGTACATATCTTTAGCCTCCATATCTGTCTTGGCCGACATCAACCAGGATTTAATCAAATATTCATAAAAACTGTCCCCGAGTCCTCCAACCGAGACGTGGTCTGTGAAGGGAAAGAGGACAGAACATTATCTCCATCTGCCGAGGCCGCCGGCAGGGCTGACGGAGCGCACATCCTGCCCACTGGCCTCGGTGGCCCGGGCGCCGCGTGCGGGTGCCGAGCGAGCATTTCATCAGCAGCCACCAAGCCCGGAACGGAGTCTGAGAGAAAGACACAGCCTGTGACGCGGGGGGAGCCAGGCCATCTTGAGCGCAATGGTCCTGCACAGAGGTGCATGGGCTCAGCCAGGTGCTATAAATCATGTCGCCTTAGCAGGCTGAGGACAGCAGGGCCTCTGGTTATTAACTGTAAATGAGTTGCATTTCTTTAAAAAGATAATCTGGTGGCAGGGAGTTGAGATTTTTTATTACTTGGTGACAAACATGGTAATTAATGTTGGGCAGGTTCATAAAAGGCCAAGAAAAGGAGGAAGGAGAGGCTTAATTTTGCTGGTCAGAGTACAGAGTCATCCTGGAAAAACTGAGTTTAAATTTAGCAAATTGGGATAAACAGAGTTCAAAGGAGCAGGGGAGGACAACTGGGGTTGTGGACCCCCCTCTGCCTAGTGGCACCCGCCAGGAGTCCCCACAGAGCAGGACCTCCAGGTTGTGGTTGAATTAGGAGGCATCTCTACCCAAGGCTGTCCTGGGAGAAAGACACGTTGACCAAGGAGCACTTAACCATAGAAACAAGACATGGAAAACACTCGCATGCTTTAAAAATTAACAATGGGAAACATCAAGGCATTTAATGATATAACAAAGAGCAAAGTCAGTTCCGTTATGCTTCACTTAAGCAGAGAGACAGAGAAAGGGGAACATGGGGGATGGTAAGGTAGGGTGGGGGAGAATAGAAAAAATATTTTCAGGTTCTTTTCAGAAAGGGGGTAGAAAAAGAGGGAAAATGGGGGGGGGAGAGGAGAAATAGAGAATACACCAACAGCTACCATTTATTGGGTCCACGGTGGGCTAGAAGCTTTACTATATTATTTATAACAATCTTCCCAAGAATCTTGCAAGGTGAGCCCTATCAACCCCATTTCCCAGATGGGAAAAATGAGAGTGAGCCTAAATAGCTCATCTGAGACCACCGAGCTGGGACAACGCTCACTTTCTGCAGCTTTTACACAGTTGAGCAGAGAACAGAAGACACACAGAGACAGGACAAGTGCAAAGAGAGAAGGACCAGAAGTCGGAGGGTGAAGACAGATGGGGACTGGGAAAGGGGGCTGGAGAGAGGCCACCACAGTAAACCAGCCCTTCTGGCCCCCTCCATAGCAAATCCTGGCCAGCAAGGTTTCAGGAAAGAAACGAACACTTGCAAAAATTGGACAGATCAGATAAAGCCTGGGCCTTGAGGAGTGGGAGGGGGTCAGTATGGGCTGGACTTTGCTAGTGAAGAGGGAAGAGAACCAGCCCAGTGTACCCCTCACCCCCGATTCCTAGGTGTAGGGCACAGCTTGGGCAAACACACAGGGAGGGGCGGGGGTGTGCCAGGCCCAGCATGATGATGGCATGTCCATGGTGGGAGCAGGAGGTCTGTGCAGGCAGGGTTGTGGGGGAGGCTGTAAATCAAACTGAGTCAGCCTCCGCCGAGAGCCCACTAACAGCTCACAGCCCAAAGGAGGAGGCCTGGCTCACAGGCACGCAGATAGGGGCACTGCCATCTCCATACTCATCTCCTGGCCCTGCCTCCCCTCACTGTTTTCTCTGCCAAACACTCCCAGCTCCCACCTGCCCCAGGTTATTTCTCACCTGTGACTACCCCTCCACCCTCCACCAAGAGTACCTTCCCCACCTTGCGTGGCTGATAGGCTTCTCCTCAGAAGGGCTTTCCCCAGCGTGCTCACGATCCCTCCTGCAGGGTGACCATGAGGTGTGAGTGAGGCAAGGCGCACCCCACACCTGGCCCAACAAAGCGCTCAGTGGCTGTCCCTATGCTGTTGTAAGAATCTGTTTGTGGGGCTGCCTCCCCAGCGAGGCTGGGCTCTTTGTGGACAGGGACTGTGTAGGGTTCACATTTTATGTCCAGCATATTTGCCCTGAACAAATGAAAGGAAGATAGTTTTGAGCTGTGCTGGGAAGGGCCTCAAATGCCAAGCCAAAGAGTTTGACTTTTTTTTTTATCCTCACCCGAGCACATTTTTCCGTGTTTTGTTCAGATAGAGTGGGAGGGAGGGAGAGGGAGAGAGAGAGAGAGAAACATCGACGTGAAAGGGACACATCGATTGGTTGCCACCCGCACAACCCAACCAGGGCTGGGGACAAACTGCAACCGAGGTACGTGCCCTTAGCAGGAATTGAACCTGGGTCTCTCTGGACTGCGGGCCAACGCTCTAACCACTGAGCAAAACCGGCCAGGGCTGGACTTTTTATTGTTTGGGGTACGTGCCCCTAGCAGCAACCAAACCCAGGACTCTCTGGTACGCAGGCCAACGCTCTAACTGCTGAGCCAAACCAGCCAGGGCAAGAGTTTGGACTTTATCATATGACTTTATTTAAGTATTTAATCCTCACCTGAGGATATTTTTCCATCATTTCTTAGAGAGAGTGGGAGGGAGGGGGAGAGAGCAAGCGAGAGGGGGAGAAAGAGAGAGAGAGAGAGCGAGAGAGAGAGAGAAGCATCAGTGTGAGAGTGACATTGATTGGTTGCCTCCTGCATGTGCCCCAACAGGGGCCAGAGAGCAAACCTGCAAACCAGGTGTGTGCCCTTGATTGGGAATTGAACCTGAGACTCTCAGGTGTATGGGCCAATGCGCTAACCACTGAAAACACAGCCAAGGTGGTCATACGAGTGTAGTGTGTGTGTGTGATGTGGCTGAGGGCTTCACCTGGCAGGAGTGTGTAGGAGAGGGAGCCAGTCACCAGGAGTTCCACAGGCAATTGAGACCTGACACCCTTTAGGGGGTGTGTATAGTCTCTCAGGGGACCGTGACTGAAGTGCACAATTCTCACGTGCAGGTCCCACTGCTTTCCAGCCGCTGTGTGTGTGGTGTGCTGGGACAAGCGCAGGAGTGGGAATCAGAAGCCGGACCTGCTGTTAGCTGGGGGCAAGCCATTTCCCCTGGGGGCCTCAGTCTTCCAATGCAAAATGCTTTTAAAGGGGGAGCAGGAGCTGGTGTCCATGGGCCTAGAGCAGAGATGAGCTCTGCTGCTTCCTGAGCCTGTCGACCCCTCACCACACCTGGCAGCAGGAGCAGCCACCCTACAAGCCGGGAAATCGGCCCAGAGTCGGAGCATGCGCCGGGGGAGGCCGCCCGGCTGCGGTGGGTGGGCAGCTCACGTCCCCATCTGGACGAGTCTAGACCTGCCACTTCCTTCCCCGAGGGAAGTGGGATTCAGGCCACGGACAAGGAGGACAAGTCCCCCCGGGGGCCAGACTGAGCGGTGGCAGCTCTCTCAGCTCTCATCCATGCTCGGTGGCAGCAGCAGCCTGGGGGCTCCTCCTGGCTGTGAGGTTCTAGCGGCAGAAGGTCTTGGTGTCCCCTGTTGCTCTGAAGCTCAGCTTCACGCAGGAATGGGGAGCAGCCAAGAGCACCCCAGTTCCTCCTTCGCCTCTCTAAGCTACAATTGCTGTGGTTGCAAATGGGCTAAACAGAGGATTCAAGGAGAGAAGAGAATGTGAACACACTTAGCTTATGCAAATTGGGAATGTTATCATCTGGAAAAATACACAATCACAAAAAACCACCCCCGTGAAAACCTGAGATAACCCCAGGCGCCAAAGCCAGGGAAGGAGGACAGCAGATGCCCAGATGAACAGGGCTTTGTAACTCTCTGCTCTTTAACAGGCCACGGATTCGTATTTTAATATGAAACAATTTTTCACATGTGACCCACTTTGCCCAGCCCTGTGACCCTGGCGCAGCCTGAAAAGAAAATTATGCTTCTCGGTGAGGGCTCCTCTGTAATTTGCCAAGGTAGCTGTTCAGACCGGAAGCCACACCCCTCTCCTTTTTATGGGTTTTGCTGCATTGTCCTGGAGCTGCTAGGGCCAGCAGCAGGGTAGTTTATCTCCGCCCAGTCAGCCCTTGCAATTAAAAACAGTAACTGTTACTGAACTGTCTCTTCCTCTGGCCATAATCTGTAATTCAGACCTTCATTTTCTTCCACACTTTTGGGTTTCACAGCATGTTTGGTTAAAAATACTTTGCATTTCTATAAGTGGTTTTGCAGGTGGCCACTTGGGAGTAAGGTCATCACCAGGAAAAAGTCCTGGGCGGAACTTTCTGGGCCCCCTGCACTTGCAGATCATGGAGGATGGGGTTGGAAGGACAAGGCCTCCGCAGTGTCCACACCTCCCTGCCAGGCCTTGGCTGCACTCTCAGATGGGCGCTCTTTCCTTTTGGGACAATTCTGGCAGATGAACGAAAATATCTGTTTCCTGCAGCTTTGACCGTTTCTCCACACCCCTCCACCCTACACAAACAAAACATCTCAAGTTCTTCTCCCATTTTGCAGGAGAGGAAACCAAGGCTCAAAGAGATAAAATGACCCCTCCCCTCAGCCATGCAGTAATTCAACTCCTGTGGACTTTGCCCCAAGCCCTTACTGATGTCTTAACAGCTGGGGGTAGAAGGGGCTGGGGAGGGAGAGGGGTCCTCGTTTGGGCAGAGGCAGTGAGCCAGGGGTTCTGGGAAGCGCTGAGAGCAGGGCCACGGAACCAGTCTGTGCTATGACTACATGACAGGGCCTTGGTCAGGAGGGCTTCTTAGCAGGGGTGCAATGCCAGGGACCTGGGAGTCTTCTCAACTCTCTTCTGATTGAGCACCCCCCCAAACCCCATTCTGTTTCAGTGGGTGAAGCCGGGGGCTGTGGCTGAAGCTCCACAGACAACCAGTTGACCAACAACCATCTGGTTGGAAATCAAGCCTCTGAACAGAGAACAGCAGCAAATCCTGACTGATCCTGGCGGGTAAAAGGCAGCAGTGAACTCATGGTTTTTATATTGCCGTATGAGTTAGATTCTGATGTAATTCTTTTTAAAATCTAAAGTTGGAGGTGACGAAGCAGATCAAAGGGGCTAGGAGAGGAACACCTCTGGAAGGGTGGGGGATGAAGAAGCAGGCCTCGGCGCGATGGCGCTGGAGCAGCGAGCGTGAGGGGCACAGGGCCTTACTGGACCACCTCATCTCGCCACAGCAAAGACGACCAGAGTGAGAACCCCCAAGCTGCCTGGGGTATCCAGGCGCACTGAGCAGTGACTCACTGGTGTGTGCCCTGCACGGGGCCGTGAGGGAAGCTGGCCAGAGCCGGCTGCAGGGGCAGCGTATCTCTGTACTCACGTTGCATCCAGTTCCCACTCACTGGACTGATGAAGTTGGGGTAGAGGCCGAATGGCTTCTCGATCTTCCTGAGGACTTTCCGGATGTGCCTGACCTGCCGAGAGATGGACACCAGGTGCACCTTCACGTTTCTGGAGAAGCCAGCCTGCTCCCAGCCCGCCGAGGACCGAGGCAACCGTTCCGAGGAGGCAGAAAGGGAGAGCTGTAGGACCAACTGCAGGTTCCAAGCCGAAGCTGGGGGATGACCCTGCCCGTGTGCCCATGTGCGGCGCCGCAGGACAGGGCCACAGGGGCCTGACCCATTGTCTCTGCACTGACCGCTCTGCCTGGGCTCTGCCAGGCTCCCTACCCCCACTCTCACCTCACCCCTTCCTCATTGCCTGTTGCTTTTTGGGGGGAGTATTTTTAGGAGGAGGGATTTGTATAAGGCAGCGGTTCTCAACCTGAGAACAGGGGTCGCCTAAGACCATTGGAAAACATATTTCCGATGGTCGTAGGAACCGAGACACCGCTCCTCTGTCTGTCTCCAGGCGGGTCCGCCCACACGCAGATACACCCACATACGACATGAGGACCTGTATGGAAGGGCCGCTGCATTAGGAAGGTTGAGAACCACTGACTGAATAAGGGATAGTAGCTGTTCTGTAAGTGCTATGTAAATCTGCCTTTTTAATAGGTCAGAAATGGTCAAATATTGGCAATTTCATGTGGTTCAACCTCTGTAGGAACCATTCCGAGGAGAGGCCTGGGCTCCCCATAACCCCATGCCCGCACAGGCCCTCCGGGTCTAATAACAGCAGCTGATAACGCTTCTCAGCTCCCGAGCCGGACCTGTTCTATACATTATCTCCAGCCATTTGAACAACCTGTGTGGTATCATTATCTCAGTTTAACAGACCAGACACCCGCATCCCAGAGAGGTTCAGCGACTTGCCCATGGTTACGCAGTGCGTAAGTGGCAGGGCCAGGACAAGAGTCAGGTTTTATCTGACCAATGGAGCAGCCCCTGGGTCCCACATGGACCGGGGCGGGGACGGAGCAGCAGCAGGTAGCAGAGGCTGCCCCACCTGAGCAAGAGGAAGCTAGATCTGCAACCTTTGGGGATACCAAGGGCAAGGGCACTTTGGGTTATAAAAGTGGGAAGGCTTTATCCCCTCAGGGTCTGCACTCTGGCAATACATGAAATCGCCCCAGTGCAGACCCTGCCGGGAGACGAAGGCCCAGGACCAGACGCCATCAGGGTCACAGGTTTATCCACAAGGCGAGGGGCAGGGAAAGCGGCCTTTCAGCCGTCAGACCTTTCTTTCCAGGGGACAGCGTTTGCTCTGCCACCAGATTTCATACCCATTTATGTTAACGCGGTCCATTATGGGGGACAGGAATGTGCTTGTACCTGACTTATTCTTGACCGTCCTGGTGGTAAGCAGTGAAGCAGGCTAAATTAGCTCCCCCGCAGGGTGCGGGCGCTTCTAGAATTTGGGCCAATTTGTTGACTGCCAATAATCGCCTCTGTGGGAGGCATGACTGGGGGATGAAAATAGCTGGAGAATGTAAATGTGGAGAGAGAGGCGGGGGACTCTGGGGGGAAAGCCTGAAGCCTGCTGTACCAACCTGCTCATGAAAGAGCAGGGGCTTCAGAGACAAGAAGTCCTGGGTTCGAATCCTGACTTTATCACTTCCCAGATGGATGATCCAGGACAAGTGACTGAGCCTCTGAGTCTCAGTTTCCTCCTCTGTAAAATGGGGATGATAGGAAGACCTACCTCCTAGGGCTGTCGGAGGGTTAGAGACAGTATAAGGTGCCCAGCACATAGTAGGTGCTCAGGTAGAGGCAACTATTAGCTCCAAACTAGCCAGGGACTCGAGCAAGCTCCTCATCTCTCTCCATTCTGAGCTGGCCACAGTCTTCTAGAGGAACTGGCTCAAGAGCAGTGGAAACAGCCCGGCCAGTGTGGCTCAGTGGTTGAGCATCGACCCAGGCACCAAGAGGTCACCAGTTTGATTCCTGGTCAGGGCACATGCCCAGGTTGTGGGTCTGATGCCCAGTGGGGGACATGCAGGAGGTGGCTGGTCGATGTTCTCTCTAATCGATGTTTCTCTCTCCCTCTGCCTCCTCTCTCTCCAAAATCAATAAAGAATAAAATATTTTTTTAAAAAAAGAGCAATGGAAACAGGGAGGGTGTGAAGGTGGGAAAAAGGATCAGCAAATAAGATTCATCGAGAAGTGGGATTAAATTGATCGCAGGAACTTTCAAGGTGGAGTGTCAAGGAGGCGGGGTCCTCTCCATATAAGGTCTGACAACGCTGCGGGCTGTTTATGGGTGGTAGTGAGCCCCACTGCGGAGGAAATGATCAAGGAGCTGAAATGTTTTCTTGAGTGTTTTCTCAAGAATGCATGGGTGGATTCCCACACTGAATGGGTAGAGGTCTCAAACCTGGCATCAAAAGTTCACGAGTACGTATTAAAAATGCAGATGCCTGGGCCTGGGGCAAAGCCCAGCGATCTGTTTCCTCACAGGTGAGCCGGGTGATGCTCTGAGGCTGGATGGCTGACACAACACTGTGGAGCCACTGGGTGCAGAGTGGATCTAGGAGCTTCCAGCCCCCTGGCGTTCTGAGAGGCTAACATTAGGGGCACAGAAGGCTTTGGGAGTGGGACCCTCCACAGGATTCCTCCTGGAGGGCAGGCTTCATGTCCCTGGGCAGGACTCAGGAAGGGACAACTGCTGATGGAGCCTGAGTGTCATCTGAGGGTGGTGTGTGTACACTTCCCTTCTTTGGGCTTAGGATCAGACCCACGGAGACACTTCTAGACAGTGGGACTGCCACGGCTGCCACACGGAGAAACTGCTCCTCCTGGCGGCCTCACAGAGGAGCGGGGAGCTGTCGGAATGGACGACAGCGTGGATGCTACCTCTCAGCAGCCCTGGGGCCTCAGCCAGCCCCGTGTCAGTGAGAAGGAACAGATGTGCCTCTGCTGTCGAGTGGAAATGCTTTGCCAGCCTGCTGACTGAGCTAGACGGGCATCTGGAAGGAAAAGCCAGGCAGATCTCCCATGAAAAAGTTAAAGGTCTCTGGAAAGGGGACTTTTGCACCAGCTGGCCCATTCCCATTCCTGCCATGTGAGCTGGTACCTAGATTTCAGCTGGTGTACTTTCTGCAGATTCACATATGTGTGGTTGCCACGGAGCTGACACATGTCCGTGAGAACCTTCTCCTGTCTCTTCCTGCCCGCCGTAGGATTCCGACTGCCCGCCCTCGCCTTCCCTGCCACCTGGGACTGGGTACAATCAGGTCTTCCACAAGTGACTGTTAGCAGGGCTCTGGGTTCCCCACACACCCTCCTGCTGATCTGTGAACCACTTTCCTGCGGCCCACAGGGCTGAGTACCCACCCTCTGCTCTCTGGGGAGAAGGCGGAGGGGCTGTCTGGGAGGGAGCAGGGAGAAGACTTGCCTTTTCAGCAAAGACCTGGTTGCCAGAGAGCTCAGTGAGGTGTAAGAACTCCAAGTGCAGGGATCCAAACTCCGCCAGGATGCTGCTGCTCCCGGCCATGGTCCAGCCCCAGCTCCTGTTGGAGCCACTGAAAAGACAGAAGCGGCCGCATTCACCCCCTGCCTCCTGCTGGCCCCTCGCCCGCGGGTAACGCGGCCGCTCTGTGCCGGGCGAGGTCCCAGGAGCTTTCGCCACATAATCTCAGTTAGTCCTCTCTGGGGGTCCATATAGCAATAGGCCCATCCTGCTGAGGACGCTGACGTTGAGATGAAGTGGCTTGCTGAAGGTCAGCTGAACCCAGGCCTGTCTGACTTGCAATATTCTTTGTCCCTGTAAGACTTGTGGGCTTACAAGGACAGTAGCAGAGCTGTCTTGGTGGCCAAAACATGGCACAGGTGCTTTGCTAAGTTTACGGGTGATATTGAGAATGCTGTCAGGGACCATCAAGACCCCACAGACACTCTATTTCCTTCCTGCGGCTGAGGGCAACCCAGTGGCTCACAGTCCAGGGCGCTGCATGTGGAGGGAGGGTCTGAACAGGGCAGGTGGAAAGCAGGGGCCCCACCTGGCCCTTTTCTCTCCTGTATGTCCAGTGCTGCCCCTGGACATGCAGAGCCCCCCTCTTGGAGTGTTGTGGAAGCCACACCTGACAGGCAGGCAGCTCTGATATAACCACACACCTGGAGCTGCCAGACCCTGGGAAGCTGAGGTTAGCGGCTGCTGGGCAGAGTCCCTCACGGGCTCCCCATGCACTTCTCCGGAACACCTTAGATAAAGCAAACTGGCATCTCTAGCCCCCTGCCACCTCACCGGACAAGGCTGTCCAAAACTCTTCACTCACAGGATGCTTTCAAGGAGGAAGAGTGCAGAGGCAGGGCCTCAGGTAACCCTCCCATCGGCCCCTTTCACAGGTGGGAAAACAAGGCACAGGACAGTACCCTCACCTGCCTGAGATCACAGAACCAGTGGCGCAGCTGGGACCCAACGCTAGTCTGACGTCCTAACCACCTACCCACAAGTTTTTAATTACATAACAATAAGCAAGGACACTGCCTTTCCAGGTGCTTTCACCTAAAATCTCCCTGGGGCTTGCAGCCAGGAGGCACGGGTTCAAGCGTGTTAGCTGGTTGGCTGCGCGGCCTCGGGCAAACCAGCCCTCCTGTGTACTTCAGTTTCTGCACCGGACAAACTAGGCAAGGACATCCCTTCCAGTCTCCATCCTGGGCATTTCTTAGGGGTGAAGAGAGAAGAGAAGGCGCAGGAGGGGGTGGCCTTGGGCAAGCTGCTTCCTCTCCCGGTGCCTGTGTCCTTGTATGCACCATGATGAGCTTTCCTGTGGGACACTGGGACAACTAGAGGGCAGGGGTCAACCTCCTTCTGCAAGAGATTGTGGAGGACGAGGTGGGTGGGGACAGAGCAGGGTGGAGTGAGCTACCCATTTGCAGGGGCTCCGAGGTGCCGTTAGTATGGGGCAGAGTGGGGGGAAGCTCTGGCTCCCAAAGGATGGCCCCTGTCTATCCCTCTGTCTCCCAGGGACAAGACCTAGGAAGACAGACAGGGCTGTGGGAGGTCCCAGTTCGCCACTGCTTTTCCTGGGGTAGGGTTGGGGGTGGGGCTGGGGGGCTCCTGAGGCTGCCCTCCTTTCTAAATTCCATTCTCTGGCCTGGATGTGGTTCCTGGGACAGTCGGGAACTCATGTCTTCCAGCTTCCAGAAACAGAGGACTGGCGTTTGGGGCAGGTGACCTCAGTAAACATGGAGGAGACCACTGGTCCCTTCTTCCTGCCTCCACTTCCTTGGTTATTTCCCTGACTTGGGGACAGGGGGAAGGTGGGGAGGGATGTGCTCCATAGAGAGGGGACACTTGGCCCCTGGATAATAAATAAAACAACTTCCATTTACTGAGTTGCTACAGATGGCAGGGACTGGAGCAAGCTGTTCACATTATTTCATTTAAAGCCCACAAGGTAAAGCATCATTAATTCCAATATGCAAAGGAGGAAACAGGCTCAGAGAGGGGAGTGAGCTGTCGAAGGTCACTTTGGCAGGTGGTAGAGGTGGGATTCAAACCGAGCTCTGCAGGGCACTTCCCTAAGGGGGTCTCCCACCCAGGCGGCCCTGCAGCCACCAGAGGAAGGGGAAGCTGTCCTCACTCTGTACACCCTCTTCCTAAGTGAGACTTCTCCCCCCAGCTTGTGATCTCAGAGGGCAGAGGGTTTCCTGAACAGCCCATGCTTTCTGCCCTTGCAGAGAAGTTCAAGGTAAAAAGAAAGCCACCAGCTCCATTTCCCCCACATGAGCCTTCCTGTCCTCCTCCCGCTAATGCTTGCTCTCCCAAGTGGGCTTTCTGTGGTGGAGCTGCCCGGGCACACAGGCCCTGCCAGAGAGGGCAGAGGCAGGCGGTGGGCAGGTGTCTTCCTTCTCTCCTGGCTCCAAATCTGGCTCCCCAGGTGACCTCAGGCAGATTGGTTCATTTCTCTAGATCTCAGTTTCCTCATCCGTTAAATGATGCTACCCGCACCTCACAGAGTCACCGTGAGGTATAAATTATGCATGTAATTGCTGTCATTTTATCATTATGTAATTATGCACATGTAAAGGATGTGGTGTTTGTTAGAGTTATCCAGGCAGCTGTGGTATTTTATTTTAACTTCACATCCAGCTTTGGAGGGTAGACACCATACTCCTTATTTCATAGGTGAAGATCCTCAGGCTCAGAGAGGGGACGACACTTTCTCCAAGGTCACATAGTAAGTGACAGAGCTGGAAGAGTTTAATTTAAGTCCAAATCCCAAGTGCCTCTTCTCTGGGCAGCATCCAATGCAGAGACCGGAAGGTCCTCTGTTAGCCCTGTGAGGCACTGAGCTAATGGAAACTCTGCCCTCCTCTTCCCTCCCAGGCTTTGAAGCCTGCTAGTGGGCCTGTAGCCTGTGCTCTACCCCCTTGGTGGGAGAGGCTGCTCTACAGCACCCCTCCCCAGCCGGCAGAAGTTTCTGTGTGTGTGTGCACTCCTGTGTAAGGTGTGATTGTTAACTTTGGAGCTAGACCTGGATTCTGATTCTAACTTCACTTTGCTGCTGTGTGACCTTGAGTAAGATACCTCACCTCTCTGATCCTCAGTTTCTTCACTGGTAAAATGGGATCCGTGTGGTTGTTGTGAGAATGGAAAATGAGAATCCATGTCATGTGTTCACATCGTGCCTGGCACACAGTGAAAACTCAGTAAACAGTGGCAATTATTAAGATATGTACACCAGTGTGTGTATGCATATGTAAACGCGTATTTGTGGGCATGTGCACACGTGTGTGGATGGAAGAGTGTGTGTGACAAAGGCGAGCTTGTGTATCAGCCTTTATGATTGGATGGGTGGCAGTAGAGTGTGATGTGTGTGTGAGAGTGACTGAGTCAGCTGCAGAGGTCCCTGGACTGGCCACTGCCACTCTCCCACACAGCCCAGTGGTCCCTGCAGGTCACGGGTCATGGCGACCCCTGCCTCTGCCTCCCAGGCCCGGCTGCAAAGACACCCCTGACCCCATCAGGGAGGAGGAACAGTCAAGTTCCCTCAGGGACCAGCTCCCCTCAGGTCCTCCAGATCAGCAGTTTTGGGACAGGGCCTACTCCCCCTCCTGCTGGACCACAGCCAGCCCTGCTCAGAACAGGGGCAGCAGTGTGTGGCGCAGCTTCCCCAGAACACCCTCCAAAGAGCAGTCAGCACCATCCAGGGCCGTGTGCATCCCTGATATTCTCCCCGGGAACAGGGAGGCACTTTTAGCACCTGACTCCTACCCAGAAAATGGAAAGGGTGTTGTCAGGAAATGAGCACATGCATACATATGTGTCAGGCTCTGGCAGCACGCAAACGGCCCCCAAATAAGGGCGCTTTCTTAATCAGTAATGGCAGGATCTGTGTGGCCCGGGTCCGGGCTCTGAGGGTAACACAGACAGCCAGGGCTCTAGTTTGCAGGCTCCAAGGGTCACACACAGAGGAGGAGGGGTGCCTGAGCTAGTCTCCTATCCCACACCCCAGGCAGTGAGGCCCCAGGAGCTGGATCTGGGAGGCGGAGCTGGAAAGACAGCGTGTTTGTGTCTCGGCTCCATGTCAGCTAGTCCTGTTTCTTTAGGGTTGGTGTTTGTGGAAAAGGAATCTGAGAAGAGATCCAAGTGTCCAGTTCTGAGGAGTCAACCCTGACACTGAGAAGGGAATCTGATTGGCCCTGAGGGCCCCTCCCTGGCCCTCAGAGATCTTAGTGAAATTTGAGGTCACACCCCAAGAAAACTTTCTGACCACAGAGAACCGTAGGTGAAGGTGCCAAGTCCTTTCTGCTTTGCTAGGCCCAAGAGGGGATGCTGAAGCAGTTCAGGCTGACAGGAGGTCAGGGCCCCCCAGGACAAAGGGGTGCAGCGGGCACTCTCACCAGGGCCCAGGGCCCTACCTCCCCGCCAGTGTCCCCCTTCCCTCCCGGCGCCCCCAGAGGAGCAATCACTTTAGGAGGGGGAGGGGGAGTCTGGTGCAATTGGTGCAATTGAGATGTTACAGCCTTCCTCCCAGGCCTGGGGGTACAGGAGGGGCTAGGGGCTCGAGGATGGCCCCAGGGGCTCTCTGGGTGCCTTCCGCAAGGTCTCCCGGGGCTCCGCTCCATGCAGCTCAGGGGCCCCAGGGTTCCCAGGTGCGGGCGAGCCAGGCAGGCCTTAAGAACAGGACTTGCTGATCGATCGGAACAAAATGAGTTTAAATCTCAGTCCCATTACCTATTAGCGATGAGACCTTGGGCAAGTTACTTCATCTCTCTGAAACTCCATTTTGATAATGGGGATAATATACATACCTACTCTCCTGGGGCTGCTGTGAGCAGTGATCGGTGAGGCAATGTACGGAGACTTGGCATAGTCTAGGCACATAGTAATTGCTCAGTAAATGGTAGGGACAGCGTTGTTTTTCATCTTTTATCCTATATACACTGTCTAGCAGGAATATTTGTCAAAGGAACAAAGAACCGGACGTGGATCCTGCCCTCAAGACGCTCTCCGGCCGCTGGGGGAACATGAAGATGAGTGCGAGAAGGGCCAGGAGAAAGGTAATCAAGTGCCTGGACGCCCGGAGAAGCAAAGACACTTCTGGCTTAATGACAAAGGTGGCATCTGAGCGGGGCCAGGGAAGCCATGAGAGATGGGCAACCCAGTGAAGGAACAGAGTGAGGGGTGTCCAGCAGCAAGATTCGTGCTCCCCAATGTATCTTAAAGCTGGCGGGGCCAGGAGTTTTCTTGACTTTGACCCCGTCCTTCCCCTCTCTGGGTCTCAGTTGCCTCATCTGGAAACTGGGTGGATATGAATACACTGCCATCCCATGAGAGGAAAGCGTTGAGGAAACAGGTACCCTGGCCAGTTTGGCGCAGCAGCTAGAGTGCCGGCCTGCGGCCAGAGGAAACAGGTGACTGGAGTGAGGCGCAGCCTGGCTCCACCCTTCTCTACCTGTGTCGCTCTGGCTCTGGCTTGGTGACCGCCCAGAGACATTCCCGTTCACAGACTGAACTGAGCAACAGGTCAGGAGGGCAAATGATGAAAGTGGCCAATAAAAATTAATGTTTTGCCCGGCTGGTGTGGCTCAGGGGATCGAGTGGCATCCTATGGACTGAGAGGTCCCAGTTCGATTCCGGTCAGAGCACATGCCCAGGTTGTGGGTTTGATCCCCAGTCGGGGCTGTGCAGGAGGCAGCCGATGGATGTTTCTCTCTCATATCGATGTTTCTCTCTCTCTCTAAAAAATCAAGAAAAAAATATTTTTTAAAAAAATTAATGTTTTAAGACAGAGACAGAAGTAACACTACCAGGATTCTTTCATGGGTGGAAACACGTGATTTTTTTAGTCTTATCTAACATTTTTGGCATAATCCACATGTTCTGCATTGAGAATTTATTATTTTTATAAAGGGGAAATTCCAATAAACGTTATTATTAAAAATGGAGTTGGAACTCCGAGGTGCAAGTCTGGAACAGTCAGTTACTGGCTTATACGACCTCAGCCCGTCACATGCTTTACTCCTCAGAGTCTGAGCCTCTGTGGGTTTGACGCTCCCGGGGCCCCTCTGTGTTCTGACACTGGGCTCCTGAGACCCAGCCCTGAGGATGGAGGTCGGCAGACCGGGGGTCCCTCTGCCCAGGGTTCTGAGACCCCCGAGCAGCTTTGGGTACCTTCTCCCGGCAGGAGGGTAGGCTGTGCCGACTGGTCCCTGACCTAGCCAGGGAGGGAGGGCCCACCTGGAGGGCTGGGGGGCGCAGCAGGGTTACAGGGCAATCACAGAGGAACGGCTGCCCCTACCCCCCCTGCGGATCAGGCCTAGGGTGCCCTAAACCCCAAGAGCCAGGTTTGGTGACAAACAGCAGCCAGGGGAGCTGTGGTGAGGGCCAGTTTCACGGTGCCGCCCGCGGCCCGATTCCAGAGGCAGGCGTCGTCCTCGCCGCGCCCCGTGTCCAGGTGGATGCAGCAACGCTCTCACCTTTTGAAGTTCACGACACTCTTCGGGATTCCCGTGGGGGTGCTGAAGGCCGGTAGGAGTTTCTCTCCAAGCTCGATGGCCTTTGTTCGGAACACCTGGAAGGGTCAGAGGAGACTGTGACTCTGGGCTGGGTGGGTGCAGTCGCTGCAGAAGCCGCTGGTGGACAAACCGCCAACGCCGCCGGACCCCGAGGGGAGGTGACACTGCTAGGCTCTGTGGTGGGACAGGCCTGGACCGAGCCTGGCTCCATGAATTCCTGGCTCTGTGGTCTGAGGTGCGGCACCTCCCTCTGAGCCTCAGTCATCTTGGTCATAAAGTGACAACAGTATTGCCTTCCTCAGAGGGGTACTGGGAAGAAGAAAAATTAGGTAATAGTTGTAAAGCACCCAGTGTCAGGGCTACGACGAAGGCTCACTGGTTATACCTGGGATTTGGGTGACCACTGCGAAGACGGTCAGGGCAGTGGGTCCCCAAGGGTCCCTGCCTGCCCACACCATGGGACCGGGATGTCACAGGCTGAGCTCATGGGAAACACATTTGTACAGAATATAAAGAGCCAGACCCCCCGTCCGGTTCCAGTCCTTGTCCCACAGCTTGGCATCTATTTGCTTCTCAGCAAACCATGGCCTCCTTCTGGGCAACAATTTCCCCCTCCCCCTTCAGATTCTGCCTCCTGTTTCTAGTTTACAGATGGGAATAAGGACAAGGAGGATGGCTTATCCTAAACCACCCACGTGATGGCAAGCAAGGGAGCCACTAGGAGGTCCCAGGCCCCTGCCCGAGGCTCTGACCCCATCAAACAGTTCTTCTGATTAATGCAAAAGCACCTGCCACCTTCTGACTCAGCAGTTTCCCTCGTAGGAATTTATTCTAAGGAAATAAATAATCAAAGATGTTGTGAAGATTTAACCTTATGGCAATTTATTCCAGCATTATTAGAATAGTGGAGAGAAAAGAAATAATCTAAATAGCAAATAATAGGGAAGCGGCTAAATGACGGCTCACCCGTGCAGCCGCTGAAATATTTAATAGTGAAGGAAGAAGGGTTCATAATGTATTAAGAGAAAAATGTGTCAAAAAAGTATAACAACTTTTGTAAAAACCATATGCATATGGACACGTGGGGGAAAAGATGGAACACTCCAAAATATTAACAACGGTCTTCTGGGAGGAGTAGGCTCAGGGAGGATTTTTATTTTCTTCCTTTTGGCTTACCTCTATTTTCTGTGCTATTTCTATAATAACAACAAGCCCACATTAAGCATCATTTATCTTTTAAAAGATGAGATGCAAGTCCCTGAGCAAGGGCTCCCGGTGGGACAACACGTTTCCTTTTACTTCTGGAGCTCGAGGGCGACCCAGTTTGCTGACATCCTGCCTGTAGTTGCAAAACTAAGTCAGCTTGAGGCCCGCCACCCCACCCCACCTCAACATATGCAATGTAATAATGCTGAGGCAGCTGTTCAGGGAATGCAGTGGGGAGGAACTTGCAAACGCTCTGGGAAGTGGATTTGAGGTCTCTGAGGGGTGGGTGTGGTCCTTGCTTAGGAAGGAGGGAGGGAGGGGAAGGCAGTGATGGGCAAGAGAAGATGATAACATCAGTGCCCGAGAGTAGGTCCCAGAAGTGGGCACGGGGCCAGCCGTGTCAGAATTCCTGGGAGCTTGTCTAGAATCCAGATTCCAAAGTTCCCCTGCCATCCCAGAAGCCTCTGGTTTAGCAACAACTAAGAGCTCTCACTTGAGGCTCCTGATGTCTTCGTTGACTCCTGAGGGGGCTGAGCCTGAGACACGATGGGACCCACTGGAACCGGAACCAAGGCTGAAGCTGCAGCTGCTGTCTGGCTGCCCTTGGCCCTGAGGACTCTGAGCTAACTCTTCTGAAATGCTCTCCTCGACCAGCAAAAACGTCTTCTCCCTTGGAAGGCCTTGCTGCCACTGGTAGTGCAGGGTCTCACCACCCCAGGGAAGATGCTGAGTGTGCGTGGGTAAGAGTGAGACCGTGAGAACAGAACACTGATCCTCTTATCATCTTGGAAGTGAGTGGGTGTGTAAGGGGTTCCGAACCCAATTCCAATGTGTGTGTGGAAGTTCCTCCACACCACCACGCAATTCTCCAGACACCAGCTCCATGTCTAAGAATTCAACTCAATTCTGACACCATGGGGACAGCATCAGATTCCTTAGGTGAGGGTTCAGTCCTACAACACTGCCCGCCCCCCAGACATCAGCCGCCAATTGAAAGCGCAGGTTATTACCGGTACTTCTGACAGGCTATACATGAGAGGTTCCCACGAACCCCACCTTGGGTTTGATTAATTTCCTAGAGCGGCTCACAGAACTCAGAGAAACACTTTACTCACTGAGTCACCAGTTTAGTGTAAAAGGATATAACTCAGGAACAGCCAGAAGAGACACATAGGGGAGGAGCGGGGGAGGGCAGGGGGCTCCCACACTCTCCAAGTGCACCACTCTCCCCAACTCTCCACCTGCTCACAACCCAGAAGCCTCCGGAACCCTGTCCTTTTGGGTTTTTATGGAGACTTCATTACATAGGCATGACTGATTAAATCACTGGCCACCGGCTATTGATTCATCCTCTCGCCCCTCTCCCCTCCTTGCAGGTCGGGGTGTGGGGGGGACTGAAAGCTGCAACCCTCCGACCACGTGACTGTTTCTCCTGCCAACCAGCTCCCATCCTAGGTGGGGTCCAAAAGTCACCTCAATAACATAACAAAAGACACTTTTATCACTGTCATCACTTAGGAAATTCCGCTGGTTTTAGAAACTGTGCCAGAAACAGAAGGAAGAACAAATACCCATTTCTTATGATAACTGGCACTATCACATGTGCCAGGCATCTTGTCTACATGACCTCCAATCCCCGCAACAGCCTTGTGGACAAGATGTTGATCCACTTTGTTATTTTATTTTATCCTCACCCGAGGACATTTTCCATTTTTTGTTCAGGTAGAGCGGGAGGGAGAGAGAGGAAGAGAGAGAGAGAGAAACATCGACGTGAAAGGGACACATCGAGTAGCTGCCACCTGCACGACCAACCAGGGCCGGGGACAAACTGCAACCGAGGTACACACCCCTAGCGGGAACCGAACCCGGATCTCTCTGGACCGCAGGCCAACACTAACTGCTGAGCCAAACTGGCCAGGGCTGTTGACCTTTGAGGAGGACTAAACCGAGTCTCAGCTAAGCAACTTGCCTGAGGCGCGGAGCTATTCTTTTCCAGGACACCAAGCTGCCTTCCAAACACAGAAAGGCCTCTGACAGCCATAGTGAGTGATGGGCAGCAGCCTACTGGCTCCAGAAGAAGGAATCCAGCAAGAATTATATTCTGTAGAGTGAAATGGGTGCTGGCCTGGGAGTCAGAGCCCAGATTCAAACCCTGAACAGCTGTGTGGCCTTGGGTAAGTCACGTTCCGTCTCTGAGCTTCATCTGCACAGTGGAATGCTGACACGCGCCCTGGGGTCTCCTAGACATCACGAGAGGACGCAAAGTGAATGTGCCATAGAAACTAAAGTGCTGTGCCAGAGTCACCTGGGGTGGCTGTGGCCCTGCGTGTGATTCTCATGGAAGTTCTGGTAGGGCTGGCTGCCCGACGGGATTCTCCTCCCATCGCTCCCCTCTGAGGCAAAGGAAGGCCTCAGCCCAGGGAGGGGTGTGAGGTCTCTTTCACCATTTAAGCCACAAATATTCATGGGGAATTTTAAGAAAACCTCACTCCACAGGCACCCACTGTGTCAAGATCGAGGACTGAGAGAGGAGGGCGACCCCAGGCCAGGCTGACAGGCCCACGGCAGAAAGGCCACAGGGGCCTGAGTTGACCCAGAACAGTCTCACAGACTGTGACCTGAGCTAGTGACCTCTAGTCTCAGATTCTGCAAATCAGTGAAAACACCACCTAATGGGCTGTTTGAGGAATGAGCGCACGATATGCATGCCCCACCTCTCTGCCATGTGGAGGTGCGGGGACAGCCAGGGACCAGGAAGGCGGGGCAGGAGGACGGGCGGTCACAGCCCCCGGAGCCTGCCTGCTCAGGGATTCTGAGCCACTTGGCCCTCTCCTTGGGCCTTCTGAACTAGTTCTAAGTCACAGGTGCTCCTATGCACATCACACTGTCTAGTCTGCATCCTGGAAGGAAGGCTGACGGTCCCTTCTAGGGAGCTGAGGCCTCAGAACAAGTTCTCAGCATCACAGACACCCCAGCGCAGGGAGGGAGGGACAGCAGGTCTGAGGAGCGCCAGCGCCATCCTGAACCACAGCCTCACACCACCCCGTCAGCCGCACAGGATCACTGCCCCCCCGCACCCACCTCCGCCTCCCACGACCTGGGCGGGAGGTGGGCAAGTGCCCATGAAGAACACAAATGCCTTTTTCTGCTCCACCTGCCATGTCCTGTCCTGGGGTTTTAGATGAAATTCAGGCCTTGAGTGGCTGAAAGCCGAGGGCTCCCATCTACAATTATTTGGGGACAAATTGGTACGAGTGGTAAGCTCTGCTGAGGAGATTATGCTTGACAGAGAGAGGCCTAAAGCGACCGGAGAGATACAGCGCATGCCTGTGGCCTCTAAACTCTTGGCTTCAGCCCATGTGCCTTAAACTGAGGGGAAGCAGAACGGACTCTCACACAACAGCTGTGGAGGTGAAGCGGGACTTTCCCTTGGCTTGCTGGCCTCACCGCCATAGTTATTTGTCCCTGGGTGGACAGGGAAGGGGGAGTGTGGGGACAGGAAAGGGCCCAGGCCAAGGGGTCCAGCCCCAGGGCAGCGGTTGCACTGGGCAGTGGACCTTTTAAGTAACAGGGAACAGAGCTGACTGATGTTTGGGGACCCGGCCCACCTCACTGGCAGATACGCGGACTGTGCCTTCACGGGCGCTCATGAGGGGATGAAGAAGCCTCCCACTCGCACAGAACTCTGTGGTTGTCCACATTCTCTTGCAGTGAGGCCCTGAGGTCGAACCCTTTTCCTCCTGCCCTGTTTCACAAAACTTTTTGGTCCAAGTTGGGATTAGGCCCATCCCCATGGTGGGGAAGGCGTGAGGCCCAGGGATCGCAGAAGGTACTTGCTTAGGGCCACAGGCAGGTGTGGTGTGGGGATGAGGTCCGGGTTTTCTGAGTGTGTGCACGGCCCTCCAGGTGCACGGAAGCTGCAAGGTGCACCTGGGCCGAGGCCTGGTACTCACAACATGTGGCTGCTCCCTCTCCCCGACTGCCCCCTGAGACCTGGAGCTGGTGTTGGCCCCGACGGGGAGGGCAAGGGGCGGTTGTGGAGTACAAAACAAGGCCTCAGGTCCTGGGTGGAAATGGGGAAACCATGGTCTTGGCTCCATCAATCCCAAGAACCAGCACCTACGATAACCAGTCCAGCAGCTCTGCAAGTCCACACCACGCCCAGGTGTTGCTGCACGCCCTGCAGGGAGCTGCACGGACAGTGAGCAGACCCAGTCACTGCCCTTAGACAATTGACTACCAACAGTGGCAGCCAGCAGGGCTCACCTGGGCAGCAGAATAGAAGCATCAGACTGAAGAGATTGCAGGTGGCACCATGGAGGTGGGGGACATGGGTGGCCCTGGGCAAACATTCTTGGATCCCTGTTTCCTCATTGGTGAAATGAGGGGTGGGATGGATGTTCTCCCAAGCCCTTTCCGGCCTGGATGGTCCAGGGGCCCGGAAGCATCAACTCACCTCCTCTCCTGTCAGGTAGAAGGCTGAGAGGAGTCCTCCGATGTACCGGATGTTCACCTCAAACAAAGATGCTTCTCCACTCTGCAGGGCAGAAAGAAGGGGAGGGCAGTGGGACACCAGTGAGATGCTTGCAGGGCTCCCGGGGGGAACCAGGCTCTTGAGAAAGGTCACACCCCCACTGAGCCCATCCCACCCTGCTGACCTGGCCACACCTGGGCTGGCTCCCGGGATGCTCAGTGGTGGTTTTCAGAGCAAAGGCACCTGCCTGGCGGCCACTGCACATTTACAACATTCCAAATAAACACCAGGTTTGGCTTCCTTCCCCAGCCCTTGCCCGAGGCCATCGGAGCAAAGTTATGCCTGGCTGCTCTCCAAGGAGCTTAAGAACCCACGCGGGGAGCTGCTGGCTGAAGTTTAGAGGCAAATCTTTCTCTAGTGTGGCCTTGGATTAGTAGGAGGATGGTGTGGCCCTTCCTTGAGGTAACAGGGCAAGAGGAAGGGTCTCAGAGAAGGTTCTGGGGCTGACAGGGCAGGGCCAAGACTAAGAGGGAGGGGTGCCTGGCAGATACTTGTAGGTAAACAGCAATTTCTCTGCTTCAGCTCTGTAGCCCTCAGGGCACACCCAGCCTTGCCTGAAATGAAACATTGTTCCTTTCTTTCTGAAGCATGGTCTGCAAATCAGGAGTGTTGTACATCACGCTGAGGATCAGATCTGGGTGAAAATACCACCTGAGCTACTCACTTGGCTTTGGGTCTTTGAGCAAGGTATTCAGCCTTTCCTTTCCCTAATTTCTTCATCCCATGTAGGGCAGATAGAAGCTGCCACGTGGTGCAGGCGAGGTGCCTGCCCAGTGCCAGGAGGGGCTCCATAAAGCTGCCTGCTGCTGCCTCCCCTGACCCCAGGGCTCTCCTCGGCATACTTCCCACGTCAGTCTTTTATTACTGACAAGAACAATAATCACCCCTTTATCTGGGAGAGCTCTGCCATTCACAGAGCACCCGCAAAGCCCCTCCTTTAGCCTTACAGTGCACAGTGCTGCCATCATTCCCATTTTTCAGATGAGAAAGCCAAGGCTCAGAGAGGGACCATGTCTTGCTTTCTTCCCGGGTTACACCCTAACCTACCCCAGCCTACCTGAATGGCCCCAGGCTCCCTTGGCCCTGCCACCACCTGGTACCTCAGGCAGCTGTCCACTCTCTACCCACCATCTGCATAGGGACAAGGGGGGTCAATGAAGACACCTCCCTTCTCCACCTCCGCCTTTCTTCCATTCGATACAGTAGGAAACAGGATTCTAAACTCCTCACCTCAAACAGATCATCAGAAATCATAACAAGTCTCAAAATAATCATGATGCTGATGATGATAGCGGCACCACTTACATCTGTGCCGGACTTTATGGTGTTATAAATGCTTTTTACAACCTGCGTGAGAGTTAAAGCTCACAAGCCTGTCCACTGGGCGTCATTATTGCTGCTGCTGTGTCACTGTGTCTTAAAGTGGGAGAAGCCAAGGCCCCCGCAGGCTGAAGGGCCTTTCCCAGGCTCTGTGCCGAGCCAGGGACGCGCTCCTGCAGCCTTGCTTTCCCAGACTTTCCCGTTTCTCTGTCCGGCTCTGTACTGACATTGGCCTCAGTTCTGCCATGAGCTGCAGGGCTGTCCCCATCTCCATCAGGACATGTCACTCATAGAGCCCAGAAACCCTACAGTGTGTTTTGAGATAACCCCCTTCCTCCTCCTATCTGTCTCCATTCCTTGCTCCTTAAATCCATCTAAACAGCCTCTCCCCATGCTGAGTGGAGGCCTCCAGGATGGATCCCCTACCTCAGTCGGGGCTGGGAGATCAGTGGGGTGGGTCTGGTATTTAAGGCTTTGGTGCTGTCTACACATTACCATCTCCTCCCAGGGCTCTGGTCCCTGCCAGGGATGCCCTCAAGGCTAGGAATCAAGAGGGTTTGGGCCTGGTCATGGGCCTCTCAGCTATCTCAACAGGCCGCACAAGGGGGCTCCAATTAAAGCAACTCAGCAGAGAAGCCACTTCTCCACTTCATAGTCACTTCCCTGTTGCTGTCTGGCAACGAGGTGGTCTGGCTCAGCAGTTAGAGCATCGGCCCACTGACTGGAGGGTTGCGGGTTCAATTCTAGGTCAAGGGCACACACCTGGGTTTCAGATTCAATCTCTAGCCCCAGTCAGGATTGTGCGAGAGGCAACCAATTGATTTGTCTCTCTTACATAGATGTTTTTCTCTCTCTTCTTTTCTCTCTCTCTCTCTCTCTCTCTCTCCCCCCCCCCCTTCCTCCCTCCCTCCCTCCCTTCCACTCTATCAAAAAAAATCCGGCCCTGGCCAGTTTGGCTCAGCGGTTAGAGCACTGGCCCGCGGATCAGAGAGACCCAGGTTCGGTTCCCGCTAAGGGCACGTACCTCAGTTGCAGTTTGTCTCTGGCCACGGTTGGGCTTGTGTGGGTGGCAGCCACTCCATGTGTCTCTCTCACATTGCTGTTTCTCTCTCTCTCTTCCTCCCTCTCTCCCTCCTGCTCTATCTCAAGATAAATAAAAAAATGTCCTCAGGTGAGGATAAAAAAAAAAAAATCAATGGAAAAATATCCTCGGGTGAGGAGTAACAAAAAAGAAAAAAAGAAGTCTCTTCCTGGTGCGAGCAACAAGCCTGGCGCCCCAGGGAGGGGAAGGGAGGGCCATGGCGCACCACCTCTCCGACCTCTCCAGCGGCTTCTGGCCCTAACACCCCAAGGGTCTCCGACTCACCACGTTCAGGTGGAAGTTCTCTTCAACCCAGGCCTTGGCCTCCTGGAACTCCTCCTTCAGCTCCATGAGGTAGAGGGTGTCGAGGGAGTCAATGACCGTGGCCCCGCTGAGGCCTCCTGCAGCACAGAAGATGGAAGGCATGACCAGGGTCAGTCTTATCGTTTCCATCCAGCCGTAAGCCACCATTCCCCAGGCCCTTCTAAATGCCTGGGCAGGCCTGGCCGGTGTGGCTCAGTGGATTGAGCACCGTCCCGTGGACTGGGGGTCATGGTTCAATTCCCAGTCAGAGCACATGCCCGGGTTGCAGCCGACCCCCCGTGGGGGAGTGTGGGAGGCAGCCGATCTATGTTCTCTCTCATCGATGTTTCTGTTTCTCTCTCCCTCTCCCTTCCTCTCTCTCTAAAATAAATAAAGAAACATATTTAAATGCCTGGGAAGGCTCTAAGGCCAAGGCTGGCCCAGAAACTATCCAGTGAGAGTCCAATCCCACTAGCCTTTGAAGGCAAGCCCAGGACCCAGTGACCCGTCCCCCCCCCCCCCCAGGGCTGCTTCCTCCTCAGGGCAGTAAAGAGCAGGGGGTAGGCAAGGGAGACAGAGTTCACAGGCTGAGCCACTTCTCAGACCTGGGGCCACTCATAGCTGCCAGCAAGTCCACCATCAGAGCCAGTTGGGCACCCAAACTTCTCTGTGATGCTGGGGGTAAGGATGAGCTGGCATTTGGCTTACATAGTCTTTATACACGTGCCAGTCCTCTGGCTCTTTGATTCTATTCTAAGATAAAAACATAAAGATGTTCATAAATATTTACTTAGGAAGGTATTTATTGCAGTGTCATATATAATGGGGAAAGGTAAGGGGAAAAAAACTCCAGGTCCAACAATAGAGGATCAGTTATATAAGCTGTGGCTCAAATATTAAATAGGATATGGGCCCTGGCCGGGTGGCTCAGTTGGTTGGAGCGTTGTCCTGTACACCAAAAGGATTTGATTCTCAGTCAGGCACGTGCCCAGATGGTGGATTCAATCTCTAGTCGGGGCATGCAGGAGATGACCGATGGATGTTCCTCTCTCTCTCCCTCCCTTCTCCTCTCTCTAAAAACAAACAAACAACAGCAACAACAAAATATTTTTAAAAAGTAGATTGCAAAAAAAACCCCACAAAAAACGAAAAGCACAGTATCATTTCTTTACTGTATGTTGTGTGTGGGTGCGTCTGCCCAGGACGAAGCTGGCAGGACACCATTCAGTGCTTGGCTCCCAGTGCTGGCACTACAGGTGCTTTCTGGTTTCTTCCCGTATGAATCCTTTTTATAATCAGAAATTTATTTCCATTTAAAAAATAAAGGAAAGAAAGTTTCGGCAAAGGAACCGTACAAATGCACAAAGTAAACATTTTCTGGACACGCCTGTTCTGGGCAGTGAGCACAAGCATGAGCCGTGAGGCCGGGCCCCGCCACCAGGCTTTCGACGCTGTCCTGGGAATAAAGGCTGAGGAAACGAGTTTTCCCCACCACAAATGGGGCAGACGCGTGATGAGAAAGACCTCCCCATGTGGCACAACCAGAGACTGAAGGTAGAGGCCTGAGAAGGAAGGGCACCCGGTGTCCTCTGGAGGGGCTCCCTGGACAAGGTGGCTGCTGCCTCCCGTCCACTTCTTACCATTATAGTCATTGCAGGCAGCAGCAATTTCCTTTAGAGACCAGAGGGTAGCTTATGAGAAGTAATTGTTCCTTCAGCGTCCTCCTTGCCAGGGGCTCGAAGCATGGAGAACTAACTGCAGGCTCGGCCTCCCCAGTGGGACTCTAGAGCTTGCTGGCGGGCTGAGCCCCATTTGAGTCTCAGCACGGCTTTGTGGGCACTCCTGCATTCAGAGTTAGCATCTAATCTCCTTAATTAGTGCTTCCCTAACCGCTCACTCGTGTTGACTTTGCAGGCAGAGCATCCTTCCGAAACTCACACACTTAACCACTCCTCGGGGCAGGTGGTAAAGGGCACTGCCTGGAAAATGTCCGGAGGGAGATGAGGGAGAAGTTGGGAGAAAGATAAGGCCAGAGGTTAAAGAATCAATGTCCAGAAGGGAGGATTTGCAAGGAAGAGCGGAAGGAGGGGAGGTCTGGGGAAGAGAGGGGCTTCCCAGTCTGGAGTCACCTTTTGGGAGGGCTTGGTATTTGGGTTGAAGTAAATTTCTAGAATGTCAACCCCTCCCTATGCTGAAGGATTTAGTAGGCATATGTACCAAAAGCCAAAGTTGATTCTTTTCTGATTTATCCCAGCTGCCTCCCCATAGGTGTCAAAGGCTAAACATGGTTCTTGGGAAGTCTTTACCCTCCTGAGGTGCTCAGGCCTGGGGACACTGATGTGCCACACGTGGATGGAACGGAGCCATGCCCAGATAAGCTCTGTTACACCACAGGGCCGCAGATTGAGATCCAGCCCCTTCCTTCCACAGATGAGGGCCACTGAGCAGGGTCGGGATGGCCTAAGACGAGCTTTTATAGACCAAAGAGTGGAGCCCCAGTCCCTGTCAAGTGCAACACATTTTCCACGACAAGGGTGCCTTTCAGCTCCCTGTGAAAACAACTTCAGATCTGACTGCTGACCCTGCCCCACCCTGCAGGGCAGGAGGCCGCTCTGAGCAGGGAAGGCTTGACGGGAAACCGCGCTGCGCGCTGTGCATTCTTTAAGGCCAAGGGAGAGGGGCCCAGAGTATCTGATTTCTGATTCTTGCCCTGGGCTGCCTGGTGTCTTCACCCCCGGGACCTGCTTCCCCTCGACGAGCCTGAGCCCAGAGGCCCCCGCCTTCCTGGGCTGGGAGGGCAGCCAGGGCTCCTCGCGACCAGCTCTTCTTCCCAAACCCTCCAGAAGCCCCAGCTGAGAAGGCGGCTTGCTGAGAGATTTCTTGGCAAGGCTCTGCCCTGCGCTCAGGTTCCTGAATCCTCCTCTTGGTTGATCTCTCGCCCTCACACCCACCTACCACACAGCCGGGCTGTGGGCCAGCAAGGCACTTATTGGAAAGCCTTTCTTCATTCCAGGCCAGAGGTTACTCAGCGGCCAGGCTGGGCAGGAGAGAAGGCCCTATCCTGAATTAAACTCCATTTGCACCTGTGGTGGCCTGGGCGGCTTCCAGGGGGGAACAGACACATGCCCATTCAGTAAGCAGGCCCATGATTTATGTGCAAGGAGCCAACAGCGCACAGAAGTCTGGCAGCCAGCTTAGACTGGGCCTGAGCCTGGGGCGGCTTCCAGGTGGCCCACTCTCCCAGCTCCAGCTCTGAACACTTGAGGTTCCCAGAGGAGCCGCCCCCTCCCCTTCCTGCCAGGGCAGGAGGCAGTGAGGGTGTTAAAAGAACACGGCATACCCTGGCCAGTACGGCTTAGCTGGTTGAGTGTCATCTAGTCCTGTGCACCTAGGGGTTGCCAGTTTGAGTCCTAGTCAGGGCACATGCCAGGGTTTGATCGATGTTGCACTTTCGCGTCATGCTTCTCTCTCTTGTGCTTCCTCTGTCTCTAAAAATCAATGAAAAAAATCTTAAAAACAAAACAGAACTCTAGGTTCAAACCCCAGTTTGGGCCAGCAACACATCTGTTCTAAGTGTCAAAGTTCTCATCTGTAAAATGAAGTTAGGCCACTGGGCTAGGGTACTGGGGAGCCACCGAAGGTTCCTGAGCTTAGATAAATGCATCATATACATGCTTGGCCCAAATGCATCTGATAAAGACATCTGTACATGCCTGGCACAGAGCAAGTACTTGACAAGTCAGTTCACTGGTTATTTTGGTGGGTCCTGAGCTCACTTTGAGACACTGGCCTAGCCAGGGAGATGTGGGTTCAAAACGGCTCCATCACATAGGGCTTTGTACCTCTCTGAGCTTCATGCACCTCATCTGCACAATGGGGTGACAGAAAGTACCCAGGTGTGAGTTTACTCTAACAAACAGAAGTGTGGCCCAGCTTCCCTCCAGCTGGCCCTGGGCAGCCCCTATACAAAGTCCTCTGGGGTCACTGGCCTTGTGGCATTTCTGGGCTACTGGCCTCTCCCTGGCCCTGCAGGGCAGTGTGGTCATGAGACTGCAATTTGCAAAACTCTTGGCCCAACTTAGAGGAAAAGCACCACATGGGACCAACTTGTGTCTGCTGCTGAAGTCATCACCATCCCTGCCCTGAGTAGGCACCTGCCTGGGTGCCTTCCTACCTTCAGGACCCCGTCCCTTTTCTCCCAGTTCACCCTGGACATTGTTGCCTTATCTGTCTTCCTAAAACCGGGCCCCACTGTGCCCCTCCACGGCTCAGGAACTTGCGATGGATTCCCGGTAACCACGTAATAAGGGAGTGAAACCTTCTGGGTCTGACTCCAAAGGATCTGGCTAATCTCATCTCCCACCAAGCTCTGCTTCCTGGACACACACTGCAAGCTCCTGCCTCCGTACCTTTGCCTGTGTGGTCTCCTCTGCCAAGAAAGCTTCTCTGTGCATCTGGGCATACTCAAGGCCCACACCTCCTTCAAAGTCCGCCTTCCTCTGGCAGCCTTCCGATTCTACCCAGCCAGCCTCCTCCTGCCCAGAGAACTCCTACAGCATTTTCCTGGCCTCCCAGTTAGGCACCCACCACTCTCACCTGACACTGTGGTGCTGTCTCCTTGAGGTCAAAGGTTCCCGAGGCCTCTCTCTACCCCTTCCCCTCCTTGTCTCCAAGCAACCCCAAAGGCCAGAGCCCCCAACCCAGTAGACTCCCCGCCATTCTCTGTGACACTTCTACAGATGGCCAGGAATCGCCTTCCCATTCCGCCCTCTCCTGTGGAAATCTAGAGCTCACCCCTTGCCCATGAAGCCGTTGTGATCTCTAGTGCATGGTCCACAGGAAGTCTCACCCTCCCGACTCTCCTGCATGAGAACTGTTCCCTGATGCCCCCACTGTCTACCCCCATCTCCAGCATGAGTGTGCCCCCATTCTCCTGACACTATAAAGGAATTGTCAATTTCTTGTCCCTGTCCCCCCCAACAGCAGGGGCTCTGGCCTGCAGCAGTCACCTCCAAGCTCAGGAAACATCTGACAGTGTAAGTGGGAAGGTGGGAGGGCGGGCACCAGGGCGGGCACCACGCTTGCTCTCCACTGGGTC